GGTTTCCCCTGAAGCACGGATAACCCTCACTTGTTGTCTGCAGAACTACAAGTTTCCTCTTTTACCTGTCAAAAAATGACAAGTTACCTCTAAAACAGGGAAAATGGCCTGTGGGGAGGAAAGTTTGGGAGGTTCAGCTAAGCCAAACAAGACTAAACACCTCCCTCTTCCCCTCTGCTTAAGCTTTCAAAGACTGGAGCCCACGCCGCCCGGCCTGCTGTCGCAGGGAGCAATCGAGTCGCTCGGCTTTCTGCTCTCGTTGCAGCCGAGCTGTTCACGAGGCAGCCCCTGATTTTTGCAGGAGTTACAGGCGTGTTGTGCATCCCTGCGGCTTGCCGGTGACATGGGAATTCGCCGAAGTCCCTGAAAAAATAGACACGTTCCATCTAAATGTCTGATCATGCATTAAACATCCCTTTCTTCCTTTTATGCCGTAGGGATGTTGGGCTTTTTGATCTCCTTGACCATAACACAGGCTGCTATGGTATTCCATGACCTATAATAATTGAGTAAATGTTTGTTTTGTGTGGTTTGGAAGCAGTTTGTAAAGCAGACGCTGGAAGGTATACAGAGCGCTTGGAGTGAGCAGTACGGCTACTGCTGCAATAGCCACCTCACGTGCTGTTAAAGCTTGCTCTTGGAAATAAAAACCCGGTTATCTTTCCATCAAATTCAGAATAAATTGTCTTTACCGGGGTTAAAGTGGAATAGTAAGAGAAAAAGCATCTCTCTCCTTCAGGAAAAATAAAGCATGGACATTAATCTGGTTCTTATTAAATGCCTTTGTTTTCATGAATCAAAGGTAAGGTAATGAATCATGTCAGCTTATTAATAAGTAAGCATTTGGACTGATGGCTTTTGAGTCTAGTAAAGAATAACAAATGAGATTTTTAATTTTCTGGAGGAATAAAGAATGTTTGTTTCCCATAATCCAGCGTGTTCTGTTCTTGAAACGTTTGCTCTACTCGTGTTTTTGCCAAGTTTTGCTCTTTAGCTTTACTCATTTCGGAAGCTTTGCGAGAGTGAAGCTCCCGCTTTGCAGCAGTTGTTGGCAGTGGGGCTGACTGGACGTGTGTGAACTTGCTTTGGGGGTGCAGTTTAATTGTTATTTAGACTCTAAATCCTACACATAAGCCTAGTCTTTTCCCCCAAYACTGGGTTTTCTGCAGACAGTTTTGTGCTCGGTGAGGCTCCAGTTTGCGTTGTGGTTCTTGCCCGTGTGCTGCAGCAAAGCCCCAAATCCTGATCTGGTTTAGATGAAGAATCTAAAGCTCACTGACTTGGCAGAGAGCTGATGGATGCAAAAAAAAGGCTAATTTTCCTAAAGGTGGGTGTAAGATTGATTAGCTTTACTGCCCAGTTCCATAGGGGCTAGGCTGGATGCAAGAGATGTGAAGGGGAAGCAGTTGGAGGGATGGGCAGCCACTGCCTTTGGTGTTAGTTTGTAATTAATGGGCTTAATGTGCAGAACTGCATCTGGGTTCTCTGTGGGCCTGCTTATGTTAGGATTGGTATTAATTCTTCGGTTAGATTTATTTCAGGAGTCACAAATTGGTGTTTCTTAGGACTATTGTGTATTTCCATTCAGTACTGTAAATTTACTGTAAAATTTACTTTTCAAAAAAAAAAAAAATGTGTGACATTAAAATAGCTTTTTCCAGAGGCTTGTCAAATTGTAAGGAAATAAAAACTCCATGGAGGTACATGTAGCTGGTTGTAGTTTATTTAAAAAAAAAATGCTGATAAGGCCTCTTATCCCTGGCCCCTAAAGAAACAAAACTCTCATAAGACAGGAATGTTTTTCCTAGATTTAAAGGCAGGAAGCCGGGTTAGGGGTATATGGTCAGTTCTCACAGCAAAGGGTTGTTTCCAGTGAAGCATCCTGCCACAGATCTGAGCAYTTGCAAATATTCCCTCCCCTTCCCAAGTTGCTTCTAAATACTGAGGTCACCAATTTGAACCATAGTAGTCAAATTGGAGATTAACCTGGAGTATTTGGAAGGAATGGAGGAAGATGGAGATGGGTGATAAAATGGCAGATCAAATTGTCCCAATGTGTTCGCATATGGAAAAGAAATGATCCCAGATCCCCATGTGCAAATTGGGAGCAAAGCTGCTCAACAGGAAAGAGTTTGTTAGAAGCTATTTGATAAAGAATCTAAATCATAATTAGTAAATCATCATGTTGCAGTATAAACACATCCCTGCCATATCTTAAATGCTTGGAATGGCATATATTCCAAAAAATAAGTGTTACATAGAAAACAAGGCTGATGGGAGAGAAAGAGGGAGAAGCAGGGAATGCTAATGGCTTGAAAAAGGTATTAGGAGAGGCAGAAAGAGCGTTCCCATTAGTGATGACTGTTACACCCGGCACCAGAGGTTGTATCCTGCGTGTCTAAGCTGCTTATCTGCTCATAATGTAAACAAGGGAACGTACGTGTTCTTTCCCCATACCCTTTCCGTGAGGATTAATGCCTGACACAGGATGTTGGACTGGGTGGACTTTTTTATCTCATTGGTTGGGTGTTCTGTTGACTTTGTGATGCTCGCGGTGTTTACCCGGCTGCTTTTCTGGTTGAGTGATAAGCTCGGCCCTTGTGGGGTGTTTGATTATTCCAATATTTCAGTATTCACCCTTCCATACGGGCAAGGAAGCACTTGCATCCCCTGGCTCCAGCTCCAGGGAAGAGGTGATGCCTACAGCCCATTTTTAGCTCCTCGTTACAACCTTTCTATCGGATGTTGCCGCCGCCTCCTGTATCTTGCTCCAGCCTTCTGTGAGAACTCTCCATGCTCTGCTCGGGGCAGAAGGAGATGGTTTGGGCTAAATAACACGTTTTTATTAATGCAGCTCCTCTTGAGGGTAGTGGATTAGGGAGCAGTCACTAGCTGCCTTGCAGCATGTGCCTTTCTTTGGTTTGTATCGTATATTGATGCTTAGTTGTGACTGTGGGAGGAAAAGCACAGCAGCACTGAACGCTTAGGAGTTCCCCTAAAAAGTGGGGTTAATAACTGCATCAGTGCCCTTTCTTAAGGGCAGCTGGAGAGCATATCATCTGGCTAATGGAAAAATACCATTCAGACTGCTGTATATTGGGTTTTAGCAGCTGTGGTTTAATGCCAGCGTATAGGTAGGTTTGGTTATAGTTCATGTGTAACCTAGAAGTATTTTTCACACATCGTGCTGCCTGCTGGGGTTGCTTAGACYGATTCTTCTTTCCATGATGCTCCCGAGAAATCATGCAAAGGTAGTGCTGGGGCAATCTGTCCATCAGAGAGCCGTCCTCCTTGTCCCAATGAGGTGAAGCTGCTTTTACCTTAAGGAAAGAACTGCTTGCTATTCTTAAAAGTCACACTTACTTCTTGACTACCAGCAGAATGGAGTGCTGTTGTCTAACAGAAATACCTGTTGGTTTTTTTTTTTTTTTTTTTTTTCCCTGTTGAACTCTTGACCACACTTCTATTCTGAAGTGATTCTTGTCCTATAATCCTTACCTCTTTAAATATTGATAGGAGGAGGAGTGGCACTGAAATATTTATGTAGGATCATCTTTTTCCGAATCTGGGTTTATGAAATATATAACCCCTCTGGGGCTATAGGAGCCTCAGGAGGAGATGACTCTTTCTTTCTGTTGCTGCTAGTTATCTGAGAGCAGATCAGGGTTCTCTTTGTCGTGTCTGTGTTTGAATATTGAGGAAAATGTGAGGATGATGCAGTTTGTCTGAAGTTTAGTGTTAGTTTTGTGACTAAGCTGATTTCTAAGTTATCTGTTAATTCTACTTTTATTTTAAATCACATGGTAGTAATTTGAGGAATGATCACCAAGTTAGGCTTGAAATTGATGCTTTTGCACTTTCTTGTGTCTCTCGTAAATGGTCCTGGTGTTTCTGGTAGGTGTTTGGATAGATGTTTTTATAGGGCATCTTAAATGTGCTGTGTGGCACATTTCTTTATGGACTCGTTGCTTGTTGTTTGAGCAACCAGTGACTCTGGCTATTCAATGCAGTATTGAAATCTGTTTACTCATGTAATGTATTCTAAAGCTTAATAGGCCTCTGTTGACTTGAAACCTAGTGRTCTTAAATAACTTCCCAGCTCCAAAGCCTGTTCTCAAGTTTTCTTGCCAGCCATTTTAGTTTTATAATTTCGTTTTCATGTAATTGAAAATTCTTTTGTGCTGTGTGAAAGATGCGCAGAGCAGAAACTATGAATCTGATGAGTGCTGTCAAATGCACAAAGTAAAAGCATTTGGAAAAAAAAATCCCTCTAATCTGCTTAACGTGAAAGGTCACCTTGAACTGGAATGCATCTTTCTGGTGTTCGCTTGTCTTCCCTGGGCCTTGCCTGAGTAAAGAGCACAGATCAGGATCTCTGTCCTGAAACTGCATGCTCCTAGCCTGGATATTTATTTATATATATAAACATATAKATATGCATGTGTATTTTTAGGGGATTTTCTTATCCACACAGTTTGTAGATTCATGCAGCAACTGTACCAGGTCAGTGCAGTGAAACTGTTAACCATCGGAGAGAACCTACTGACTGCTAAACTGGGAATTTCCTGTGCGTTTTAGATCAAGCCTGTGTGGTTTAATCTAAGCTCTGCAAGCTGTTAGGGCATGAGATTGTTTCTGTATTAAAATTCTATGATTATTTTTACCTCATTGGAAAGGTAGCTCATTCCTTAGGCTTAGTTGCTGTTTGCTGGTTTGTTTTCCATTTTTTATGTGTCTGTGTCAGTATGGATTTTTCTTTTATCTGTCCTTTTTAGCAGTTCTCATGTTCTGAATCTTGGACCATAATATTACCTGTTTAAATACTGTGCATTTCCAGGAACTGGTCTTGAGGTGAGGAGAGCAGGTTGTGTTTGGAAATCGTCTCTCCTAAAGAAAAATCATCAACTGACTTCAGCCAAATTTCTCACTTTAGAGATTGCTTTCCATGCAGGAGTAACTAATGACCCAGCTAACATAGTTTTGTCTTCTTTCCTTTCCAGGTCATGATTTTCATTTTCTCGTGTCATTTTTTTGAAGAGAGGAAATGATTGTAGTGGAACTTGTTACAAGTCAGTCACTGATACGGAGCCTTTGTAGTTCAGAAACGTTCATAGAAGAACAAATATAACCCTTTTTCTGTTTTTGTTCTGGAGCCTGTGCTATTAAAAGGGAAATAAAAATGACGACTTCGTCTATCAGGCGGCAGATGAAGAACATTGTGAACAACTATTCCGAAGCCGAAATAAAAGTTCGGGAAGCGACCTCTAATGACCCTTGGGGTCCCTCCAGTTCGTTAATGACTGAAATAGCAGATCTGACTTACAATGTTGTGGCCTTTTCTGAAATTATGAGCATGATCTGGAAGCGGCTGAACGACCACGGCAAGAACTGGCGGCACGTGTACAAGGCCCTTACCCTGTTAGATTACCTGATCAAAACAGGTTCCGAGAGAGTGGCTCAGCAGTGCAAAGAGAATATTTTTGCTATCCAGACATTGAAAGATTTTCAGTACATCGATCGAGATGGTAAGGACCAGGGCATCAACGTAAGGGAGAAATCCAAGCAGTTAGTGTCTCTGCTGAAGGATGACGAGCGACTCAAGACAGAGAGGGCTCAAGCCCTGAAGACCAAAGAACGGATGGCTCAGGTGGCCACTGGAGTGGGGAGCAATCAGATCACGTTTGGCCGCGGTTCCAGCCAGCCAAACTTATCCACAAGCTACTCGGAGCAAGAATATGGAAAGTCTGGAGGCTCCCCAGCCTCTTACCATGGCTGTAAGTACAAACTRAATACACATAAAGGGGATTTTTCTTCCTTCCAGAGACACTGTGTTCTAATTTGCTGTTAGAAGCGAGAGCAAATGGTGCCTTCTCGGGAGGTTAACGTGCAGACTATGAGGGGCACTTTGCAGTGGCTGAATCCCTGGAGATCTGCCCCGTCCTTTCAAATGGCTGTACTTAAATATTCACTTKGGAGATGATGCATGTGTTGATGTGAATCCGTTTTAAAAGCAGCTCTTTATTGTCCATTCCAGAAGGTAGCAATGTCACACTATTGCCATGAGTACAATCCCACAGCTGATGGGATTGGTCTTCAGTAGGGAGGTTCTTAATGGAGTTTTATTTCTTTAATTTTGAAAGGAGTTTTAGAAAATTTGTTGTGTTCATTTGTTTTCCCTAGYATATAATTTCAAAAGAAGTTGAAAAATAAACTATTCCCTTGATTATTTTTTAGATGGTTTCTTTTTGTTGCTGCTGTTTTATTTTAGGAAGACATTGGCATTTAACTTTACTGCTTGCTCAGCAGTTCTCTAACTAGTAACACTCTGTCAGTGTTTAGTTTGAAAAGATATTCACGCTATCAGCTCTGGTATGCAAATATCAGTCTTAARTAYSAWATWTSRTAYTTAATTAAAAAATAAAAAAAAGAAAAATACCATGATGTGGGAAGAAGACATTTTATATACCACTGCTTGGGGAAACTCCCTGTCGTGTTAGGAAGAGGCCTGGTTTGGCACCAAATCTTCCTTAAAATAAGTAATGATCTGATGAAAGCTGCTTTGGCTGAAATGTCAGTGGTTGTGGTCTAGTTTTGAAGGAAAATCTTTTCTTTAAATGAAGGCTTATAGTGTTTGGAGAACTTTAACGGATCMCGTGTGCTGAACTGATGCAGCATCAGTTTGGAGAAACCTGAATTTGTCCTGCCCGGTATCCCAAAGCAATCTCAAATTGTGCCTTCAGCAATAGTGYCACGGGGCATGTTGCTAAATCGTTGTTTGTTGGACATTACAAGAATTTTGGTGKCATGCTAGATGTCAGGAATGAGATTTTGGCCACTCTGTCAATACAGAGTGTGCGTGTTCTCATTTGCTGCATGACTTGGCTGCACAGCTCAGTTTGCAGGATTATTTTTCAGGTTTTTATCTTTGCTACCCGTCCCCAAAAGCAAACACCCGAAAGGCTCTAGAAACCCAAGACTGTTGTTGTTGTTGTTCATTGCTTACAGTCTTTTCTGTACTTAATTCTATCAGCAAAAATATAGATGGTAGTTAATTTTTACAGTATGTTTCTTCTGAAGTTTTAATGTGTGTTCTTTATTCAGATGGTTTATTCAATATAGCAAAGCGAACTAGCATCTTACAAAACAGCAGCATTAAGCAAAATTGGAAATAATTGGAAAGCTTTGGAGAAAGCTTTGCCCTTTATTTTGAGAAAGAAACTTGCATCAAAATCCAGTAACTTAATTTCCTACATAAAGGCAGAGTTATTCTTGTGCCTTTTAAATTGAATGGAAAACACATTTTTCATGATTTAAACTGAAAGTGATTATATCTGTCATTTTTTTWAATTCTATCATGATACCCTTTTTTGTTCTGAAAATACAGGTTCAGTAAACTATGTAAAGGGAATTAAGGAAAGAATTAACATAAATAAAGCTGGGAAGGTGAAAGAGCCTTTATACCAACAGAGCTAAGTGATGTTTCAGCTCACAATGTTTTGGTATTAGCAGGTAGTTTTTAGTTTCATGACCTGCTAGACACAGTGGGTCTGGATTCCAGYTTTTAAGAACTTTTAGCTGGAAAATGTTGAATTAGCAACACTGGATCGCATTGCTTTGGGAATCGCTGTTGCTTATATCTGTGTCCCAAATTGTTCTTTCTTTAGTAATAATAATAATAATATTGCTAGTTTTACATATATGAGGAAAATCTCGGATGGAGAAGGATCCTCTGGGTAATTTGCCACAGTCTCTCACTGCTACAGACAAAATATACTGTATGATCCTGTCCTTACGTAAAACACCTTCTAAAGACTGGTTGATAAGACATTTTTCCCTTCGCTTTGGAGATATTTTCATCTTACCTCTACCAATCCATTAGAAACCAAGTAAAAATGAAATGGTGACACGATGGGAGCTTATAATGTTTTAATGTCCTTTCCACCAAAACTTTATCTTAATGGCAGTGTTGGCCCCAAGGTTTTCTATACTGTGAAGCTTACGTAATTCTAGAGGGGCTAAGTTATGGCRTGTGAATATTGCTGACTGTTGATGTTGATATTTGTTAAAATACAGTATGGTTTTTGCTGTCATAGACTTGTATTTTATAAATGAGAGCTTTGTAAAGCTAAAACCAAAGGAACCTTCCCTCCTAAGCTCAGTTTTGTCACCAGTCTGTGATTATACTRGGGTAGTTGGCTGTCATCTAGTCTTGAGGTAGATGGTACTGTGACATTGGAGCCATCAGCAGGACAGAAGCCCCTTCTCCACGGGTGGAGGGTGCTCCGAGAGGCCGAGTGCTGCTTGGGCGCCTTGTGCCTGCAGAAGTTCATCCAGTAAGAACCAAATTTACCAAAACCTTGATTTTTAAAGAGTTTTTGGCTTGTTAGGTCTAGCAGAGGCCCTACCTGTGCTATTTGAGGTAGTGCCTGTGTCCTGTCCTCTGGCCATCTGCTGCCCTGTGCCTGGCTCGYGTTGAGCAGCGCTCGCAGAGCGAGACTGGCGGGTGCTTTAATGTCCTCATTTCATTTATACAAACGTGGCAGCGCGTGGGACAGCGCAGCGTGCTCAGTGTGACCTAATTTCTGAGGAGCACTTTGCCTGGAGGTTGGCCACTTGGCTGAGAAATCGGATTCATTGCACATACGGCCTGGTTGATAAAAGATTGCTGAAAGGTGGAGGGAAAAGGGCTTTTCTGGCTCTGGCGAAATGCTGAGTCTGTCAGACTTGCATCCTAAAGATTTTGGGAGTGATTCTTTTTATTGATCTGCTCTTTAACCTGAAATGATGAGTTTTAATATTCCCAATGATTGGTCACATTAACTTGATTCATTATTTAAAAGCAGTTTTGCGATGTGTCAGCAAGTTTGCATTCAGTCATCTATTTCACTCTTCGCAGTGGGGCAAAGGACTTAAATTAATAGCTTGAGTTTGACRTTATAGGAAATTCAGAGTTCTCCTATTTTTATTATTTTCTTATATTGTGTTCTGCAGTTTTACAGATTGCACTGCATCTCTGGTGCTCCTGCTGCGTTAGGAAATATGTGGCCTATGATCCAGGAATGAATCTTGACCAACTCTGATAATTTCTGTAATTTGTCACAAGAGGTTAATAGGTTCCTATATTCTCTGTCAGGTGTCACTTCTCTGGCGACTTGATTTAACCCTCCTCGTACTGCAGTTTTTGTGGTGCACAAAGTGAATGCTGCTGATGTGACCAGGCTTTTCTAGATGTCCCAAGTCATCTAAGCATGTTTGTAAAAATGAGTGTAGGGACAATTTGAGACAAAAAAACACTGTTTAACTAAAGCCTTAAGGATCTGTTTAGGGTTAAGCAAATTTCATGACATTCAGCTTGTCGCATTCACGAGTGCAATTGCTTCCATCCTTAAAGGATCCCTTTAATTCCCAGCGTAAAAGCAGACTAATATCCCTAAAAGCAATTTGCACTTTCGTAATTTGAAAGATACTTTTTGAACGTATCCCATCTTTATTAGGTTTTCGTTTGAAGACCAGTGGCTGGAATCTCTTCTTGTTTCCAGGTGCATTATTATCAGTTTCCTATCCTGAGGTTATTTTAATTCTCCAAGTCAGCCTTATTTTTGTCCATTTTCTTGCAGAAGAATGAAATGGCTCTACTTTTCTCAATGAATGTGACCAAAAACTGAATTCAGAAGATTGCTRCCTGCTGCAAGTGGCAAAGCGGAGYCTCATTTTCCRTGACACTCGGTAGCACTGCTTGGTGTGGTGATGTGGAGCGGCACTAAAAAACTGAGCTCCTGCTTTTGAATGAAAAGACCAAGGCAGATTTCCCGCTAGCATTCACTTTTCCTTAATTTTTAATGCAAACAGTGACTCTGCTTTTTAGCTGAGAATTGTGTATATACTTTGTCATTAACTTAATCAAACCTTTGGGCATCTCCAGAGGGTTTTTAACRTAGCCAAAATATAGTAAATTGTCTGTAAATACGTATAAAAGACGTCAGAGCCTCTAACAGAGACAGATGGCAGAGCCGAATCCTGCTTTAGTGATTAACTGAGGTTCGAAATGATTTCCTAGCGCTCCGATGAGAGTCTTGCAGAGCAAACAGGCCGGGCACATTTATTTTGCTAAAAGCCCGTGCCCACACAGTCGCTTTTCAGCCCCGTGGAGGAGCCCGGACCTCCAAATTCTCCAAGCAGCAACAAAGCAGGGCCTACCGGGTCAGAATTGATCTATTGAGCCCCATCTTACATAAACATCTGAGTTAACTGTCATGTGCTGGCGGATAAGAGATTCTTTGTGTGGCAACGATACTGTTACTAAGGCAATAACCTCTCGGCTGGATCCTCGCGACCAAAATGTTAATACAAAACGTGGCCGATGCAGAGGGACGGCTCTAASAGCGAGGGCATTTGGGAGGGAAGTTGCTGGGTAAAAAAAACTGTCGGCATTCAACCAAGAACGCCGCTCTGAATTTCCTCTAATTCTTTGGGGAAAAATGGACTGGCTGCCATTTAACAGAGGTGGTTTTATAACCGCTTCTTAATATTTAATGCAAAGTAGCGACGTTTTTACTGGTGTTTTTTGAACGCGGGACGCACTGAGGCATCTCAAATGGGCAGTTTCTTTGCTGTTGTCGCAGAGCGAGTTCTGCAGCGCTGCTTAGAGTTAATAAAACCAAGGAGGATGAATTGCTGAAAAGCCTAAAAGTGAAAAGAAATAAACTGTACATGTGAGACCCCCTTATTATCCGGGCTCGGCTTGTGGAGCTGCTGAATGCCGGGCTCTGTTGGGAGCAGTGAGGTAATGATGCTCCGTGCCAAAGGCGCCCGCCGCTCCCGCRGAGCTTCGGGATGCTCCGAGCGGGATGCGGCCCCTCGCGCTTCCAGTGCTTAGTGCAGAAGCGCTGCCTGCTGCTGAACGCTGCAGGTGAGGAGCACTGGGAGCAAGCAGCCCTTTGCGTGGAAACGGGAGGAATAACAGAGAAAATAACTTAAAAATGACAGTGTGGGTTCATTAGGCGCTCTACCATCAGCTTCTTTGCTATGTACAAATATATTGAAAGAGATGACCAATTCTTGTGTAAACATTAAGGGAATCACATCCCTGCCTGTCTGTAGTCGCAGCTGAAGAAGCAGAAGACCTAAAGGCTCCTCCTTGCTCCTGGTTCAGTTGCCGTTTGCTCTTGGGTGAGCAGCTTGTGTCCCATCCATGTGCTTATCAAGCCCTGCTTTGAAGCCACTTAAAATTCTCACCTCTCTAATGCCTGCTGGAAGGCTGCTGCTTTGAGCTTATTCCCATCAACTTGTATATCTAATTTATTCATGGTCAATTTAAATCATTGGTTCTTGTCTCTTTATCTTAAATAGCTTTTCTCACTCCACAGCACTCTCRGACATAATCTGCCCACTCTTTTTCTAGAAACAGTAAAAATCTGAAGCATTCTGTGTTCTCAGGAGGGAAGCAGGGTCACACCCGGGCCCGTTGGGAATCATCTCTCTCGAACTGGCACGGCCACATTGCATTTGGTGTCTTAGAAGAGTGGRACTAATGGCTTTGTAGCAGGGCTAATGTTAACGATGGTTATATCAGGTTAGTGACTGATGTTATTGYATGTTTTAGTAATATACAGAATCCTTTACATCTGTCGCCTCCGGTTGATGCCCCCCCAGTCTGTAGAAGATGCCGTTACTGAAGAAATCATTTCACTTTGTCATCATCCTATTTTTACTGTTCTCCTTCTCAGTCAACTGTTTTTAAAAGTCTAGTTTTTCCCTCCAGTTTGACAATTTTCTTAGCATTATTTTTCATTTTTTCATAATCTCCATTTTGCTTGTGTTTAAAAAGTGAACAAATGTGGCCTTTATCCTAATTGGCGTCATAAAATGCTTTATAAGATTATTTCTACTGCTTTGACAAAAAGATAAGAGCCAGGTATCAGATTTCCTCTGTCATAGTCTATTTTTGGTAACCTCTTGCTGGGTTTTATTCCATTTTCCTTTTAATTCTGTATTTTTGTCTTTAAAGTGTTTGCAAAGTCTGAATATTCTTAAGGCTGGACTTTCCCCTGCTGTCAGGCATCCTGTTCTCTGATGTCCCTTTTATTCCTACTTCTGGTCTGTAAAGGTACCAATAGATTGGAGAGCCCATCAGTGATTTGTGAGGCAAAAAGTATTAGTTAAGCAGATAAATTYAGAGGCTTCTTATGAAAAAAAGGGAATTTTAAAAGTAATTGTATTGAGGTCGCAGTAACATCTTTATAAATGTGAAGGAAGGAGCTGACCTGGTTGGCTTGAAAGCAGCCGGACCAGCACAGCATGAAAGAATCTAGTTTCTGATGATGGATTAATTTGGCCCTTCAAAAATGGGATGGGATGGGGGTGACGTTGAGCGCAGGGTGGAAAGGAGAGGATGAGGAGGCTCCTTGCTGCCTCCCCTCTTGCTGCTGGGTGGGTGAGGAGTTCACACAGTTTACAGGGACATTTTGGCTACAAATTCAAGTTAGACATAGAAGCGGGAAGTAGTTGGAGGGTTAAAGTAGTGCCTGAAAATGTGTTTTTAAAATTACTGTTTTGGCAATCTAATTTTTATATACCCAGCTGGACTATTTAAAGGGAAGTTGATTTCTTTTGAGTTTGATATCCTGGCTGTAAAATATGCAATGATAATACATATTTTGCAGAATTGTAATTTCCTTCCCAACCATTAAATAGAAATTCCTTTGCAAAAGAGGTAAAGTGCCAGTGTAGACAATGTGGTTGCTCTAGAATTATCTGAGAGAGCAGAGGAATCGTTTAATTGCTGCGCAGTGGTAAACACGGGAGTTCTCCCATTGGGATAGAAGTTTCTGCTTCTGCTGCAGCAGTGAAGACACGAACACAAGATGACTTGTGTATTGAAAAATAGTATGTTTGATCTGTCAACTGTAATTCTTGCTCTGAGGGGAGACTGGGAAGCAGATTATCAGATAGTTCTTAGCTAACAAGTCTTCATGCAAGAATAAAGACAACCAAAAGCCAAACAACCCTCCCTCCCAAATAGRTTTTTGTATGGGAAATGATACTGTATTTTGTAAATTTGGAATATGAATAGCTGGTTTGTTTGTCTGTGAGCACTCTTAGCAATTGAATGGGAGCGATAAAGAACTGTTCTTAAGACTGTTATTTTACCAAAAAGTGGGTGGTTTCCAATTTTACCATGGCATTGGCTGACTCCCAGCAAATGCAATCATCGACATTGGTACATGTAAAACACTTCAACAAATATATCTTGAATGATTAATCCTACAGTGACTGTGTCCCTAAAGCCCTGATTTGCTGACACAGGGTATCACTATAAGCTTGCTGATTTTTGTTGCTATTGTCACCATTTAAAAAGAAAAAGTCTTTTGTTTTCCAGGAGCACTTTTCATTTAAGGTAGTTGAGCTATCTTGCAGTTTTTACCTTTCAAGTTTTTCTCGTGCTTCTTGACCTCAGCAGGGAATTGAAGATGTTCATCTATTTGTATGGACTTTATTTCTAATAGCTCAGAGTTCTGCAGATGGTCCCCGAGCCCTGACACCCAGAGCGCCCGTCCTCGCGTTAGCCATCGACCACCTATGGGAACGGCTGCGTCTGGCCAGAGAGGTAACCAGCCCTGTTATAAAACACTATATAAAAAAGCCCTATTTGTTGTGTTTGTCTCCAACAGCTACATCCCCACGGGTCTCCTCGGAGCTGGAGCAAGCACGGCCTCAGACGAGCGGAGAGGAGGAGCTGCAGCTGCAGCTCGCGCTCGCCATGAGCAGGGAAGTCGCCGAGCAGGTCAGTGCCGGCCTCTAATGCCTCCATGCCTTCATAGTGGAGGCCACAACCCTCTTTTTGTGTTTTTAATGGCATCTTGGCTTTGCTGCAGGTGTAGTGGGGAGGAGAGTGGTCGTTTTGGAAAGCAATTTATCTTATTTTTAAATATCTTCTTAAAATTAACTGTGACCTCAGTGCGATTGAGGCTAGTGGAAGACAACAGTCATTTTGCAAGAAGACTTTGTTGTGTGGGAGGATGTTAATCATCGCATTGCTGAAGCTGGTTTCAGTTATGAAGAACTGAAAACATAACTAGTCCTGAAAGCCTTTATTAATGGGCCAGCATAAAATTAAAAAAAAAAAAAAAAAAAAAACAGTGAATTTTGATTAGAAGGGAATTTTGAGTTATCTGTTCATTTGGTTAGATTTTCTAGGACAGAAGGGTGATCTGACCCAACCGCTAGAATATTTAAGGGACCTGGTTTTAAACAACTTGGCTCCTAACCTATCACAGTGGTTACGGTAATATGTTAATTCTTAGGAGGTTCCTTCTGAATCTGGAATAAATGCTGTAATTCTGAGTAGAGTCTACTGCATATTAACATGTAACGAAGTTGATGAATCTCAACTATGTGTGAAAAGTGAAGTCCACCACTCTGGGTGTCTCTGCAGTATTTTAGAGGCTTCCTGTGAAAGATGTAGCTTCCAAATGTATGATGAACCATAATATCTCTGTGCTTGCAGAGAGACACTATAACCCAGTAAACTTTCTGATTATTTAGCAATAGAGTTTAAAAACAAAATCATAAATTATGTCAATGGAAATGGGGAAATGCCAGTTGGGGGGTTTGTCAACTTGTGAAAGACGTGATGAAAGCAAAAATACTTGAAATAGTTGGATCTATCACAAACATGGTAGTGTAGAGATGTTTAAAAGCCTGTAAAATATGCACGGAGTTGACTAAGTCATTCACTTTGTAGATGTAAGACTTGCATCGAGGGTGGAGGGAAGCTGTAAAAACTCAGGAAAACTAAAGTTGAAATTGCTACGTCCTTCAGTGGTGATGCGAATGATCGAAAGTGCGGTAATAATTTGAAGCTGGGATATTTCCTGTGTTTTAAAAAGGATGTTCCTGGCATTGTAACTTAATTTTTGGAAAAAATGCTTCACTTATAACTTTTCCCTTGGGAATAGGCTCGTGTGAGGATAAATTGCAGTCGCACAACTTGATGTTGCCTTAGCGATCACGCTATTACATTGATGTCAGGTTGTTCCAGACCCCAAACGTGGTTGAGTGAGGTGAGATTCCCGAGCAAACCACCTTCCACAGTTGCCTTGTGTGTAAGCTACAGCAGCTAGGCCTGGCAATCCCGCTGCACTCCGAGGGTGGCAGGGTGTGCTGCCCAGGCCGTGGCGGGCAGCTCCTGCCAGCGGGGCCGGCCACCTGGAGCAGCACAGTCTAGGCTCATGGTCTATATCAACAGTGTTGATTTCCTTTGCAGGAGGAGCGCCTCAGACGCGGAGATGATCTGAGATTACAGATGGCTCTGGAGGAGAGTCGCAGAGACACAATTAAAATTCCCAAAAAGAAGGAGGTAGTGCCTTCAACTAAGAAATTCCTGGTTACGCTGCCAAAAGCTTGAAATACAGTAACACAAAATAGCTTAATACTGAGCTCGTTTATGCTTTTGGGATTGCTTTGTTGTATAGCTTAAAGCTTCTTCCATGTGGGTTAACTTTCAAACTACTAGTCAATGCAGGTGTGTAAAAGGAAAAAAAAATGTTGCTTCTTCATCTCTTGGGCTTGTACTTCAGATGGGTAATGCTCTTGATTAAAGCTCAGACTGTTCCTACCCTCAGCATACAACTCTGTTGGACCTAATGGATGCCCTCCCCTCATCGGCACCGGCATCGCAGAAAACAGAACCTTGGGGACCTCCTGCTGCTGCTGCTGCAAACCAAACTGATCCCTGGGGAGGGTCCACGGTTGCAGCTACTGCCTCTGACCCATGGCAATCATTTGGTAAGAGCAAACCCTGCCACAGGGGATGCTTATATTTGGCTTTTTCTTTTTAGTATTGAGCTATTTCAAGTTTCTCAGTAACAGTGCAGAGCATCCCATCAGTATGTTAGTCCATTTTGGTTGTTTTCTGTACACGAGAAGTCACTTTCCCTTAACTCAGTTTCAAGCAGAAATGAAAGGAAATTATGTTCTCTTTTGAGCAGTTGATTTGTGTGTATTTTGAATCTTAAGAAGGAGGAGAAAATGGAAGCCTTTGGTTTCCCTTTTTGCTGCAGAAACAATTTGCCTCATCCTGGACGGAGGCTCATGGCTTGGCTGCAGGTTGGGTCCAATCTCATGGGCTGAGGTCGTTGTCAGGGCTTAATATAGTGCTCAGCCTGGGTGCTGTGATTCAGAAAGGCTGTAGCTTTGAATTGCAGCATCTTTAATRCTGCTCCTACTGACACAGACCGTGTATACATTTGGAAGCAAGTGGGTTGAATTGTTTAAATGGAATTTTCTTCTGGCCAAGGAGTTGCTCCTTTGCATAAGAAAGCGGATGGTTCCACACAGTAGGTGTTGAGGGTACTTTGGGAATGGACCTGGGTCTGGGTTTTGTTCGATTTGGGCCTGTGTTTGTGGCAGGGAGAGGAGAGGGGGAAAAGGGGGCTCCTTTGCAGACCAACAGCCTGGTCTGCCAGGTTTGCTTTAGGCTGGCGCTTCTGGGACCTCAGCTGCATAGTTCTTCAATCATCTGCATTAGCAAWAAGTGCTCTGCCTCCAGATTCCTGACAAGTATTTTGGAGTTTAGTGCTGAAACTCACTCTTTTTTGTTGTCCTTTTTTTCTCCTCTCTCCCTGATGGCATTAAATGCACTTGCTTAGCTGCTGAGCCAGCCACTGTTCATTGTTTAAGTGTAATCTGTATCTTTTCTGGTGATTAGCTGTCAAACATTAGGTCAGGAAAAGCCAGTTTCAGGCCTTTAAGACTGTTGGATGTAATTTTCCATGTTTAAAAACAACAACAACAAAAAACCTCCTTCAAATCTGGTGCCTGATCTATCATCCATTGACTAGTTTTTCCTTGAATCGGTTGCAGCTGTAGCATTTCCTCCGTGACTCCCAGCTTTATTAATGCCACTTATAACAACCCCTTGTTCCAGCTGGCCACTTACTTGGCTGCCAAGGACAGTCTTGAAGATGGGAGATTTATGAATTTGACTGCTAATAAAACTGTGAGCCACTAAATTGTGATTCTTAAATCCTGTATGTGCTYTGGCATTTCAGCATGGAAAATAAAAGCTCAGGGAAGGTAGCTTCCCAAATGCTCTAATTCTGTGTGCTGTCTAATGAAAGAAAGGGCTTTTTGAAAGCTTCCATTTATGAGCAGCGCTGTCATTAGCATTTGCGTGGCATCGATTGTAACTCGGCAGTAAGGGCGGATAAAGGGAATCCTAAGTGCTGGACTGGGAATAGCTGGGCTTATTTGGAGGATTTCAGCGTTTCCTGTCGCGAAGCTGCAGCGAGCCCGTGCCACCTGGGATGGAAGTGAAAGGACCAACATTGCAAATTGGAATTTGTGCCAGCAAGAATAGCCCTGAATTGATTTTCAGAAAGAATAGTGTGAGACCAGTGGTTTTAGTGTGTTATTTCTAAAAAATAAAATAAAAATAATAATAATAAAAAAAGTGCTTTAACCTGAAAGGGGTTAAAGGTGGTAGCTGCTTATTGCACGGGTAGTTCTGTCCTATTCCTGGATTATACAATTCTTCTCATTTAGTAACTAAGCCATGAGCGGTCTAGAAGTTGCATCGAGGAAAGGAAATGTGTGCATGTACTATCATCATCTTATAATTGTACAAAATATGTATTTAAAGTCTTAAGTTCCCATCCCTGCACTTTGCTGGCTGAGGGGGTGAAGGAGGGCTGGGAATGGGTGAGATGGAAGTGAGAGGAGGATGAAGATAGGGAGGCAAGTTTCTGTCTTCCCTTCCCGCTTCCCTTCCACCTGAGTGTGCCATGAGATAGAACGAAGCCCCGACCTTGTGCAGGACCCTGGAAACACGTTGACACACAAGTGATTTGGTGCTCTGGGTTGGTAGGAAAAGAATTACCAGGGTCTTGTAGGAAATATGTGCGTGTTGAGCATGCAGTTACTGGGATTAAAAATGTAGGAAAGAGTCAGCAGACAATTTAGATCTGTCAGGAAGAGTGCTTACAAATGAGGCTAAAAAGATAAAACTACCKCAGAGAAAGCTGATTGTGATATACATGTATAAAACAAAGTAACAGTATAAAGGAGAAGTCTAAAGTTATTATTTGTGAATCTCTCTATTCTTTTTCATATATAGTCCATCTTTTACACCAAGGTTCTTGTGGAATTCTTTCTCTTCAGTTCTATCATGGTGGTGATGTCTGTAGCAAAAGCAAGCTGTTTTTCCCTGTTGTTGGAGCTGCCAAATTTGAATTTCATATGGACGCTTATTTTTTTCAGCTGTCTCCTACAGAATTTAGCTGTGTTCGTTGTTCTGCATGTGTAACATGGAAAATACTGATTAAAAACTCTGCATCTAATGTTGAACTGCTTTACCTTTTGTTTATTATGCACCGGACAATAATGGTCCATAACAGATTAATCTCCTTGGCCAGCTTTGCAAAGTGAAGCTACAGTTACTTGTCTTCCCGCTGACTCTGTTTGCAGGTGCCAAACCAGCTGCTTCCGTTGATCCCTGGGCRGCACCAGCAGGATCCACAGCTCAGCCTCTGTCCAAAAACGTTGACCCCTGGGCTCCTGCTCAGTCGTCAACTACTGCAGCAAAACCTTCCGTGGATCCTTGGGGACCAGCACCTGCAAACAAACCTATCTCTACTTCTGGTGAGAGACTGTCACATTCCATATCCGTAATATCCGAGTAACGCAGGGTGAGATCGCAGTGATTTTTATGTTGGTTGTGTAGAAGCAGCTCTATGTGGATTAATTTGCACTGCTGGATTGTGAAGTACTGAAACAAAAGACTTCAGGTACCATTATTCTGAGTTAGAGCCCGAAATTCATTTTGCTGCCTTTTTCAAGCTTTTCCATTCTTTTATTTGTACRTACAGATGTGTGCTGTGCATTTGTGACAGTGCTGCTGCTGTCAGGCTTTTAAAAGGGTTTTATCTTTAATTAGATGAGAACTTCATTTCCAGAAATGAATGTTACTATGATTTTATCTTTCATCGTGATAAATACTCTGCAGATGGATGTCTCTGCAGATGTAGAGTGACAGGTCGAGCTCTTCCACACTTTAAGGAGTTTTTGGAGGTGCAAATTAAGATTTTTCTACTTTAGACCGAGGGTGTCAAATCTTCCCCTAAAACTTTGTGCTGCGAGATGCTACAGGTGGTGATGTAACTGTCTATTCATGCTCTGTAACTAATGCAACTTTCATGAACCTTACTAATACCTTATATCTTTGTGTTGGTACCGTGGCTATTCTAATTGCATTTTCTCTTGGTCATTCATCTCAGCACATAATAAACAAAGGACTCGCAAATTGAACGCTGCAGAAATGCTCTAATCCATTTTTCTCTGGGCAAAGGGCAGTAACTGGATCGTTACTGGAACGATTCCTCAACTGTGATGGTCTTTGTTCTGGGTAGAAAGTACAGTTATTGTACAGAATCTTTACTTATATTATTTGGGTCTTGTGGGTGGGTTTTTTTGTGAACTCTTTACGGAGTTAAGTCTGCATCTTCATTTGCTTGAAATGTGTTGGCAGCTAATGCTAAATTAAGAAAAACATTACAGCAAATACAGAAAAGCAAACTTCAGAGCTTTTCAGGAGTGCTATTACTCTTCATTTAGGTGTGGCTTTTCTCCCTCCCTTTTGAGGTAAGGGTGTGTTTGCATTATGGAAATGTTATGTTTTTGTTTGTTGCTAAGTACAACAGAACAGTCTTAGCTCAASCAGACCTAACCAGCTCTACATGGAGTAGATGACATTCCTGCAATCCTATGGCATTCCTACTTACTTTAACTTAAGGAACATAAGTGAAATCGTTTTTAGTTTATAGTCAYGTTGCATTTGTCTTTGCAAGTATATTCAGAAGTGATGTTTTACTTGAAGGCTGATTAGCACAYGTGGTGGAGTCTAGCCTGTAAAATTACTGCTGCTCTCTTCTCCCAAAGCAATGTATGCTGCCCTGTGCCTCCTGGATAACASCTAATAAAACCCCAGCCAGCTGAGGTGTGTTTTGTACTGTGCTTTAAGAGCACATCACTCTGAATTAGTCCGCTCACCCTGTAAGAAAAGACCCTTTTCTCACATTGTCCTTCTCCTTTGTCCTGGGTGAAAGTGGGAGCCCTCCAGCTGCTCCTCACAGCTGATCCGGCTCCCACCAAGTGGCTTCCCAGTGATGTGAACGGGTTAGAAATCCCTCTCAGTAGGGTCAGGTGTGTAAAGCAACTGAAGATCTATTAACGACAGAGCTCTCTTGTTGTTTTGAACAGGAAGTACATCTTTTGACCTCTTCAGTAATTTGAATGGTACAGTTAAAGATGATTTTTCTGAATTTGACACACTTCGAACTTCCAAAAAGCCAGGTATGAATCAAGTTCTTAGAAAATGGGAAGTTTGGCTGATGGCCTCAGCAACAGATGTATCTGTTCTTAAATTTCCCAAAAAAAAAAGAAAACCCACAAAACAAGAATGACCTTTCACAAAGGAAGAGATCAAAGCTGGTGAWAATGCAGCAGCGTAAGCTTGTTGTTAACATTTTGGCCTGTGCATGAACTCATGGGGAGCTGGCCTCTTTTGTGTTGTAAGCCATAGGCTTTCACTCTGTAACCTCTGTGCTGCATTGACCCAGAAATTTGCTTGACTTCTAAATTTATCTCATCTAGCATGTGTGTGCAGTATGGCTCATGCTCAGACAGTTAAACAGAATAATGCTGACTGAATTTCTCAAACCCATCAATTCTAGCACGATAATAACAGTGGAAAAATGAGAAAAATAACTTACATGAAGGTTTAAATTTCTCTTTGGTCTAAAAACCTGTTGGATCTTAATGTAAGCAATTTKGTACTAGATACTGTCTGCTTTAGGCTAGGTTCTCCCTGGAATATTGTTGGCAAATTCCAATCTGGGCCAGGCTTCTTTAACACGCAAGAAAAACTCTGTTGGAATCTGTCTGGGAGAGGCATAACAGCCACGTAGTGCGAGGGCAGAAGYCCAAGGCTTTTGATATCTTTTCTGTGGAAACTTAATGTAATTTATTGCAGCATAGCTGAAAGAATATCCGTGAGGCAGGTCAGGTAGAGGCTCCTGTAGAGCACTGCAGTGTAATTCTAGAGTCTCTGTGTTCTTCCAGAAAACACTTTTCTTGCATGCTGAGGGTGGACTGCGTACTTGAAATGCTTAAAGAAAACTTATGAAAACATTAGACTTCAAAATATTTCCTTTGTGAGGGACTTCAGGGTTGGCTTTGTTTGATTATGTAGATTGAGGAGTTTTGTTTTTCTTCTTGTGTTGTTACAGCTGAATCRGGTTCCACTCTGCCATCCCAGCATAGCGGTACCACAAGTCCTGATCTCTTTGATTCCCAACACTCAAGCATGACATCAGGCAAGCAAAGCGCCGCCCGCAAAACCCCCGAATCTTTTCTGGGCCCCAATGCTGCTTTGGTGAACCTGGATTCGCTGGTGTCTAAGCCACCACAACCTGTTACTTCACTGAATCCGTTCTTGGCACCAGGTCTGTTCCTATTCATTCTGTTTATGCTTTCGCTTCCTATAGGGAAATTTTGCCTAACTCGGGCTCATGTGATTTAACATCAGTCATTTTTGGCTTGTTTTTCTTGATTACTTCAGCCTGCAGATCATGCCTGAGAGCAGAAGGGTGAGGCAGCAGGGTTTCTGGGTGTGCTGCTGGACCCTAAAAGCCCAGAGTTCTGCTCTTGCATCTGCTGGGCTAGCTTAGTTCAAGCTATTTGTTTCCACATAACCTTTTGCACTGATTGTCAGAATAATCCAGGTTAGAAAAGAGCTTTTGGTTATTAAAAATAGCTAAACTAAAGCCCATTGATTGTCAGAACAGGTAAGGTGTGAGCGTGTGGCAGCAGAGATGCTCCAGCCCTTGGAAGAGTAGTAGGTGCTCGTGGCAAGCAGGTCAGTTATAGCCCTTTTAATGGTGCTGTTGCCAACAAATGAGCATCTCTGCAGCCYGAGGTTGCAGATGGCAAACTGGTGTATGTTTTATTAGGCTGTTGGCTAGGCTAGTGTGATAACACAGTTTTGATCCAAACATGCTCTTAGTATATTTGGAAACAAATTGGCTGTCTTAGTTCCTCTGTAACTTGGGCCCTGTTGTAAGGGAGTTTTCGCTTGCAGCAGGCCTAAAGATGGTGCTGAGCATTTGGAAGATCTGTGTATTCTTTAAGGACTCTTCATATGCACTGAACATTTTTTTTTGTGATGCCARTCTTGTGAAATTTAAAAATACAATTTTTGTATTTATTTTCTTCCTGATGGSGGAAAAAAAAAGAGTTTATTAAACTCAGTAGATAAGAAAAAACAAACAAACAAGCAAAACCCTAAAACAGTAATTCTGAGCGGCATTGGCAGTGTTTAGCAACAGGAAGTCTGTGTATCTGCCATTACTGGTTACTAGAAGAGAGTTTTTGAGGGGTCACTGGGCCATCCAAATAACTCTATACATATGCGGGAAAAGGAATTTGTAGTTGTGGCAGCCGTCCAGACAGCCCAAACGCTGGGAAAGTTATTCTCTGCTTTTTCTAGCACTGCTGTAATTCGGAAACAACTTGTTTACTTTATGAATTCTTGTCAAAAGTCAGTGCCAAAACCCTGTACAACTTGTGAGAGGAACTGCCTGACTGAGACGTTGAGGCCAAGGCACAGAGATACTGTAGGCAGAGAGCAGTGGAGGAGAGCCGCACCACGCACACGACCTGTACTGCTTTGTAATGCTAATCTCGAGTAGCGTTGCAAAAGGACTGACCTGGATACCGTGGCTAGATACGATACGTTCCAGGTTATCAAATTGGAAACCTGTTTGTCCAGAGACTCTAAGTGGAAACTGGTGGGACTGTTTTGTGGTGCTGCTTTGTGAGAGGCTCGGCGGAGCAGCCTGTGTTTGCAGCAGTGCAGCCCCAGGGAGCTGAACGGCCTCTGTGCAGGTTTCTCCCGAGTGTTGGGGTAGGAAACAGAGAGAACCTGCTTGCTTTGAAGGTGAGGAGAATCCCCGAACGCCAGCGCTCGGTGGAGATGTGATCCTATTGCTTCTTCCCCTTTTTCCCCTCAAAACTAGGTGCGGCCACAGCACCCGCTCCGATCAACCCCTTCCAAGTGAATCAGCCGCAGCCGCTCACTCTGAATCAGATGAGAGCAAGTCCTGTGATGGGAACCAGCCCTTCCTTCAGCGCTGTGCCACCGATCAGCATGGAGCCAATACCTCTGTCTTCCATGGCCCCCGTGCCCGTGGGGATGGCACCGATACCACCTATGGGCACCGTGGCCTCTCTAACGAGGATGGGCCAGGGGCTGAACGTGAGCATTGCAGGATCAATGGCCCAGCCTCTTCACAGTACAGGAATCCCGCCGGCAGCATCCCAGTCTACAAATACAACTAACCCCTTTCTCCTATAAAGACCCAATCAAAGGAACTTTCTTTTCATAGTGTTTCCAGGCTGAAGTCTTTACAGCTAAATGAACGTGGCCTGTGTGGACTGAACGGTGTGTAAGAGACTTGGAAGTAGATTTGCAGTTTACAGTTATGATCTTTGAAGAGTTGTCTCTACTTACCAGTTAATCTAAATCTAGTCTTTGCTACAGATGGTACCTTACTTTGGCTTGTTGAGCATTATGTGAAATGTTCAGACTTTTCACCAAAGTTAGATTCTGCCCATTTTGTTACTTTGTTAATCATTTCAATACACTTTCTAGGGAGAACCTGCCATTTTAAACTCCGTTGGCTATTTTGTAGATGTCAGATGATGTGCTGGATCCTGAAATTACTATTTCCCTGCATCTGTCACTTCCTATGCCCGTAAGATAGACCTGAGATTCGGAGTGCTAGTGAATGTTTTGCACATAACTATACACAGTTCTAGACTGTTGGTTCACCCATAGTCCTTACTCTTAGACGAGAACGATTTTGAGGGCCCAGGTGGCTGGTTTTTATGCATTAAACACTGCAACGCAAAATCGCACTGCTTTCCTATCCAAGGTTGACCGAGAAAGCAAGCTTGTCTCAAAAGGAGAGGAGAAAAAAGAAAGAAACAGACAAAAAAAAACCCCAAGAACATTCTCAAGTTGTCGAGTATAACGTGTGCTGTTGTATGCGGTGTTGAATTTGTACACTACTCTCTAAGGACTCCTGAGGAACTCTCTGTGAGTGGCATGCTGCACTCGTGCTGAGTGAGTGTCCTGCTCTGTGCTTGTCCAGTAYCAGCTTCGTTTGGAAGTTATCATGTGTATTTTGTTTTTATTTGACGTACCATGTGAGTGGAAAGAGGAGGAAAAAAAAAAAAAGAAATGCAGAAATACAGCGGGACAACTTTGGATTCAGTTTCACCGGGGCAAGCTTTAAAAACTAATTCAGGCTTAACCTTGCTATATGCAGTTACTCTTGTATACTTTTGCACATATTTTGTTTAGTACAGTTTCATATTTGAGTTTGCAGAGTTACCTGATAGTCCTTTTTTTTTTTTTTTTGCTAATTTTTATAATGTGGTTCTTATTTAACTGTCTGGTTTTGATAGATTTATCAAGTCTGGCTGAAAAATTAAGATATTGGCAAATGTCATTTTTATGGTTTTAATGCCCTCTTATGGTTTTAGCTCTTTGTTTCTGTAAAGAGAGTTTAAAAGGGAAGATTAACACTAAAATATTTTACTTTTAAATGAAGTATAATGAAAAAACAAATTCGCACGACTGATTATTTTGAGATGAATTCAGTTTGAACGTGACATGATTTAAGACTACATTAAAAAAGAGAGAGAAAAAAAACACAACAACACTAAAGTCGCTTTTCCCTTGATTTGTTCCCATTTTCTGGCTACCAAAATGGACAGGCTTTTTAGCCTTTATGAAGGTCTTGAGAAAGGCTAGTTATTTTTTTCTTGCCGTTCTTCTTGAAATGCTCAGAATCTTAATGTATAAATACGACTCATTAATTTCATCGACTAATTTTTCGTAATGAAAGGTGCACTCCATATTAATAAACTGGTTCCATTTACAATTATTAATTGTAGGCTGAACTCTCCGTTTTAACTTGCATGTCTGGACTTTCCTGCGATGGACGGAGCGCGAGACGAGGGATGTCCCGGAGCGCGAGACGAGGGATGTCCCAGTGCTCGTAACCACCCGGTGCCTCTCGGTGGCCTTTCCCTAACTAGCAGGAAAAGGAAAACAGAAAAAAGAAAAAAAAAAAAAAGAAAAATTGGGGAAAAAAACCTTAACTTGCCAGAGCTCTGCGTCCTGGTGCAGTGATACTGCGTGGGAGCGTGTCGGGATGGAAGGGCTGGAGGGGGCTGCGTTTTATCCCATGGGGATAGGGGAGGCTGAGAGTGTCACATCCAGGGTACAGTCGCGGGTCTTGGCTGTGTAGGTCGGCGCAGCTCCGTTARTCTTTGGGGTGCTGCGTGTGTGGATGTTTCTATGCAGGCTGCTCGGTCCTCTTGCTCCCGTTGAATTCCCAAGTAGGATTCAGAATATTTGTCTGCACTCCTTTTATATAGGAGGAAAAAGAATTGCTATCCACACTCAGTGTATCTTTAAAAAAAAAAAAAAGGAAAAAAAAAAAAGAACGAAACCCATTCATGTTGCCTTTTGGGATAAGGAAAAATGCTTTACATTTTTTGTTGTTGTGGAAGTTATTGAAAAGTGTAGGCCATGAAGGGTGTGATTCTTGCAGATGGGGGGGGAAAAAGTGCTTTCCAGTTGATCTGTGGCAAGATTTATCCTTCATTATTTTTCCAGTTGAACTTTTTTCAATAGTGGAATGGAGTCGTTTGATGTTTCTCCCTTAGTCCATCACCTGGGTGCATTGGCACTGGTTTAGATGGGGCATTATCTATTCAGCCAAAAAGTTCTGCTCGTTGAGCACTGGGTAGCTGTTTCTGGAGGCAAGATGAGGGTGATAGGGAGTGTTTTAAAATTTATAACGTTGTCTACAGCTCGGGGTAATGAGCTGTCATCATGAATTGCTAAAAATATATGTTGGTCTGGTAGAGAGCCCTAGCTTAATGAAACTGCTGAATGGCAAATCGTTGCTTTTACCAAGGCCACYTCTCTCAGAGCTGTGTTACTTTTGCATTTTAACTGTGTGCACGCACATGTGTGCATATATATATATACACACACACACGTGTGTATTCATATTTTACACAATAAACCGTGGCAAGACACTCTGAACAGCGATTAACACGGGTCGTGGTGCTGCAGAGCGTTAGGGTAAGGGCGGACCGTGCCGCGGTTCCCGGCGCGTTCCCGGCCGTGCCGCGGTTCCCTGGATGTTGCAGGAGGAGGCGAGCTGAGGGGCCGAACAAGCAGCTGCTTTGGTTAAAATCCCCTCGGTCCCCAGCTGGTCGGTGTCCGAGCGCCGCGCGGAGCCCGGSTCGCTGCAGCAGAAACACCCCAAGGTGCTTTCTGCCCTTCCCGTTGTGTCCAGAAGGGAAAATGGGCTTCGTGGCAGTTCAAGTGCTCTCCACAGTGGTTTTCCTGCCGCGCTCGTGTCCGCTCTCCCCTGTTTCTCCACGTGCGTTTCCCTCTTTCCCTTTCTTTTCCCACTTGGAAATGCTAAAAGTGCTTTTGCTTTTAAAAATGTTAGTATCCCAAAACAGCCTTACTGGTCAAATTGACCAAAGATTAAAAAGTGTTATTTTATAAAAGTAAAGATATCTTGGCATAATTTTAAACCCAAAAATAAGCTCAGTTATTTATTCAGTTTTATACTATATAGAAACTAAACTACGCTGAGGGGACCGGGAAGGAAAACGGTGGTGGCTTGTGGTGTTTACTGCCTTTTTGAAGTCCCAGAGCTAAGACAGCTGTTCTTATCCATCTTCCCTTTTGCTGTTACAGTTTCTAATGTGTACTGTATGTATTAATATTGCACAAATTGTGGAGAAATATATGGTTTATTTTTCACAGCAGAATCTCACAAGACTCGCTTCCTTTACAAGTGTTACAATTTCGATATTTACCAAACTCGTTTTCATAATACTGGGAGCCGGCTGCTTTTTATGAATTTGTGCTGACTATTGACATTATTTACTGTATAAATAATTTATCATTTGTACTATTGTATCATAATGTCTGTATCTTTGTGTCATTTTTCCCTAGCCACGTCACAGGTGTGATATTTAATAACGCCATCAGAACAGTGGAAAGACAAGGGGTTTGTAGGTGACTGGTCAGAATTAAAATTGTATTGCTTATATTCCAGGCGTGTCGCTTCTTCTGGACTCTGCGTAGTGTTTCCGTCACCTTTGAGAACTGTCGCTGCCGTTGCTTGGTTTAGTTTCCCGGAGAGGTGATGGATTGGAGGAGATGATGGAGGTTCGTGCTCGCAAGTCCTGCGTTCGGGGGTGAATCTAATCGCTGTTGAGAGTAACGCTTCTTGTACATTGTCAATGTGATTTCTTGGAGGCATTCATCACTTTTTCCTGGTGCAGGCCTGCTCTTRCTATGAGAAAGGAGGATTTCTTATAGATCACTTAAATCAGAACCAGTTGAGACCTTATTAACTCAATAAAGATGAAGACTTGTTGTGTTGCAGGTGACTGAATTGCTTCTTTAAACCACATTCGTTTTTGAAACAGCTTTTTTGGAAGGACAATCAACTGCTTTCCCAGCAGAGGCTTCAAAAATTACGTAATGTTAAAGACAGAAATTTGGGGAAAAGTGGAGTTTAAAGATGGTCCTTTGTGGAATAAGGTTGGGGAAACTGAGACCCCAGGGACTTGGGGAATTCCGTGTTTCCCGCCCCTTGGCAGCCTCGGCGCTGCCCCTCGATGAGGGGCCGGGCAGGGAGCCCAGCCCCAGCTCGGGGGGCTCCAGTGCCCGATGGTGGGTGCTGCGGGTTGAAGGGCGCTTCGTTCCCGGCCTCTTTGGGAGCCCCTCCAGCTTTGCTGTCCTTGCAGCCTGCTGCTGGTCGGCCCCTTGGTCAAAGCGGCCCTGGGGGCAGCGCGGGCAGCGCTCGGGGGTCTCTCAAGCTCTCCGGAGCAGCTCTGTGGAGCAGCACGTTCATTTTATCCRGGGAAACTGCGAACGTCACTGGAGGGAAAGCCGGACTTGCAGCGGTCCTCCCTTCTGACTTACGCTCCCCATGTTGAGAGATGCCAAGGAAAAGCCATCCTTTTCYCAACAGCTTCTTGACGTGGGTAGGGCCGGGAGATGGTGCAAAGTTTAATCATAAGCGAGCGAGCCAAGTTCATTAGTGAATTGGTCACTCACAATGATTAGCTGTGATCTCATGCATTGAAAGGGGTGGAAAAGCGCTGTTGAGATGCAGAAATCCTGCTGAGGATCGCGTGGACGCGGGCCCAGCCCCGGGAGGCGGCGCGCAGAGACGGAGGGATGTTCCCTAGGGTGAATGGGGGTACCTCGGTGCCTTGGCCTGGATCGAGATACAAAAATAGACGCCTCCGTGGTTGGAGGCTGCAGCGAATCTTCCCCCAAGGGCTGGAATTGTCCACGGGGGCTGCAGACCCGCAGGTTTGAGCGCAGCCGCCGCTCAGGGGCTCCGGCCTGGGCGCAGGGGCTGCAGGAGGGGTTTCCAGCAGGATTTGTGCTCCAAGGCTGCGGGTGGCCTGGGAATTCGTCACCCTCATAGCCCTGCGTCCTTGCGCTCAGCAGCTTCTGTTAAATGGCAGCCAGTGGGAGGCCGAGYGTGTGGAGGTGCCGTGCAGGCCGGCAGCAGCTGCCGTGATATATATGTATCCATGAGTGTGTGTTCATATCTATATATACACACACATATACACAATCCAAACCCAGACGTGGTTCCTGTGTTTGCTACCYCCCCCCCCGCCTTGGCTCYCGAGGCTYTGCTTCCCGGGTTGTGTCCTGGGGTGACTCCGGACAGCACGGGAGTGTCGGGGGCTCCAGCGGGCGCCTGGGTGGGCAGGGAGGAGACGAAGGGGCCGTCCTGGACTCGCAGGGGGCAAATATTCAAATATTTYTATGGAGTTGGGACTTTTTTTTTCTAACTGAACCCCCTTCTGAGGTTCGCTGTGAACGGCGAGGCTGCACAAATGCACAAGTTGGTTCTGGTCAGTCCCAGGAGAGCAGAAGAGAAGAAAACAACTGTGCTGGGCACCCAGCTTCTCTTGTGAAACAGCTCCTGAGCTTTGTACCAGCTGYACGCTCTGAAGCTGGAGGTGAATAACTTCCCTGCACCGCTGTGGGCAGGGAGTTCAGCCTTTCTCTCCGCTTAACGTGTTTTTTCATGATTTGAACCTGTCACGCTGTTTTGCTCACTTTGCTAACTGGAATGAGGAAATGCAAGCGTGCTCAAGAGGAGAAACCCATGGTTAAGTGGTAGTAGATTTCATGTTTGTGTCTGTGAGTTTCAAGTATTTTGAAGACAGATTTTTATCCTGCTACTGTAGCTAACTGCTTCCCAACTACTTTAAAAAAGGAAACAAAATCCTGCACATCTCTCAGCCAACAGGAAATACTTAAAAAATCTGGATTCGAGCATGACTCAGTTCAGCGATTACAACAGTTGCCAAAACAAGTGGCGCAGGAGCTTACTGGAAGCCTAACATAGATAGAAACATAATGGGAAAAAGCAAGAGACAAAACATAATCTGTAATCATGTTTGGAAAAGTATTTATAAATAGTTCAGAAGATGCTAATGCTCAGAGCAAAATCCCAATACTCATGTTATCTTTTAATAAATGCTGTTTACAAGAGCAGGCTTAGGTTAKACTGTTGAGTATGCACTAATAATTAGACCAACTGGGGTGCTTTATTGCATCTACATCCTGAAAGCTGCACAGTTCAACCCTATTGTATATTGCTTCTTGGGCCCTCATTTTGCAGTTTYGGTGCTGTGGCTGTTCCTTTCTAGGGTGGTATTAAGTCCTTCTCACAGTCCCCTCGGGGTATGTACAGTCAAAACACACAGGATTTCATGCCCAAATTCTTACAGCAAAGTGACTAAGTGATTAGTCATTTTGCTGTATATTTCTTTCTCTTTGTACCTGTAAGAAGAGTAAATCTTGCATGACATCTATTCTGTTAGAAACAAATGAAGCCCTTAGCAGCAGAAAGACAAACACATAAATATTTAGACACGTGTTTTTATTCTGCCTAAAAGAACAGTAATCTTAAGCTAAAGGGGGTTCAGTGAAAGGTATGGTAAGAGAGCAGAAGAGAAACGGTGTAGACTGAGGCTCAGCTTTGTACCCTCACGCTGCAGACACCTCACCGTAACTCCTCCATAATAAACTGTTCTAATCTTTCCCTTGGAGCTTTATTCAGAAAGAAACTCTGGAAATGGGGAGTCASCATCTTGTGCAAAAGGCAAAAGTTCAGGTTGCTTCACTGAAAAAAACTGCAACAGCTTTCTCGAGTGCACGAACTATCTTAATGAATTTCACAAATTCTACAAGGACTATACGGGATTACCTGGCAAAGCAGCTGCTGCTTTTGCAGAGCAGTTCAGGGCAGAGCAAAGCAGGGGTGTGTAGCACTGCACCACTTCCAGGGCCCCTCATTTTTGGAAGGTGTGAGCATTTAATTTTTAATTGTTACCAGAAAAAAAACCCTTTACTATACAGCGCAGTTTGTGGTGATGCTTTAAATGCAGGAAAACAAAGATAAACTTTTTTTTTTTTAATATAAAGAGTGTACAAAAGACTGCTAGAAAATTCTTTTATATAGAAAAGTGTTATATTTTGATATTAGTGTTTTTGTGTAATCTAGACTCTTATCCAACTTAGTTATTTTTCAACCCGTATGCTTACTGAAATGATTATACTTAGGAAATTATTCCAAAGCCTCGTGGACTTGTGCCCATGTCTCCTGTGACATTTTCTCAGGTTTGTCACATACTCACTTCCTTTTTCCAAAAAGCTCCCACTTGCCTATCTGCTGTGTGAGTCTTTGCACATCTCACTCCTGCGTTTAATAATTATGAATCCCTTCTGTGACRGACATAGAGTGGCTCTCCATGTCACTTGGGGTCACCTCATAGCCCAGCTTCGTCATATCTTTGGTCACCACGTTGAAGGAAATGGTCACAAAGCCTTGAGATCGCACTCTTGTTACTAGGAGAAAAAGAGAGRAAAACTCCTCAGTAACACTGGTTAAGAGTTTTGGAATAGCTGCTGAATTCCTCATGGATCTCTCCTGATGTCTCTTTCCACGGGAGGGAATGGATGGTCGAGCGGCACCTCCTGCCACGTTCAGTGCAGCTGGCAGCTCTCAGGACCCACCTTCTCTGCCTTCTCCCTGCGCCACCACTCTGGGGTCGGTAAATTCGGGACGTCTCCCCGTGAACCAGCTTGAAGAAGAAAACAGAAAACAAGCAAGTTATTGGATATACTCATTTGTGGCTAGTTTTGACATATAAAATTAATAATTTGTGGTTTAAAAAAAAAAACATAGGGACTCTTTGTTAACAGCAGAGAGTTTTGTAGACTGGTTAACTTTATGGCTTATCAGCTTTGACCAAAGACAAGTTTTGTCTCTCCAAGGGAAAAAAATGAAACCAGTTTTATATACATTATGTTAGAAGCAAACTATTTCTAGGCTAGATAGGATCTGTCTATGGCAAAGCAGTTTCAGAAAGAGTCTGATTCCATTCTCACAGAAGAAATACTTTGAGGGAATCAAAGGTTTTATATCTGTTTATGATAAAAAAATACACACATGTGCACAAATGAATAGCTGGAGATACTATTTCTTTTTTAAAATCCTTCTTTGTGAGTAAGACGAAGTCTTTGATCATTACCTTGTAAACTTCTGCAGCCTTGATGTGGATTCTGGCACAAACATAGGAAGGGTTCTTATATGCCTGAAACAAGCATGAAAGGCAGAGAAATTAAGACATGAACCACACGGCGCTGGGTTAAATTGTAAGTAAAGGTATGTTTAGTGAAGGTGCCTGGCTTTCAGGGGTGTCCCTGCCCGCGAGGCCCCGCGCCTGCCCTTGCGGCCTCACCTGCCGGGTTCGATGGGCACGTGCACAGCCCCGTAGCCTCTCACCACGTCGTGCCCAAACACGTCGGGCCCGTAGACGCTCAGCACGATCTGCGGCCCTGCGGGGGGAGCGGCCGTGAGCGGGACGGGGGGCAGCGGCGCGGGCCCCGCCGCCCCGGCACTCACAGCCCCAGGGGTTGGTGCTCTTGAAGGTGATGTCGAGCGGCAGGTTCCAGACGAGCGCGGCGGCGGCGGCGTCGCTCCTGCAGGCGATCTGCGAGATGCCCTCCTCCAGGCCCTGCGCGAGCGGCGGCAGCGGCGCTGGAGACCCCGGCGCCCACCCGGGCGGCCCTCCCSGCCCCGCATCCCCGCGGCCTCACCCGCACGTGCCCTGAGCGCTGCTGGGCACCGCGTGGGATCCGCCCGCTCCCCGGCTGCCCCTTCCAGTGCCCCGCTGCTCAAACCGCGCACCGACCCCTCCTCACGGCCGACCTGAACCTCCCTGGCGGCCACGTGGGGCCCGCTCCCCCTGCCCACCAGCCCTGGCGGGCGCGGGCCGCTCTTACCGCCGTGGGCACCCAGTCCTGGCCGTACACGAAGCAGAACTTGCAGTAGAGCTCGTCGAGGCCGGGGAACTGCGGAGAGGCGGCGTGAGCGCGGCCAGGCCCGAGGCCGCGCTGCGCGGGGGCTGCGCTGCGCGGGCCCCGGTTCGCTCCCGGTCCCGGTTCGGGTCCCGGTCCCGGTCCCGGTCCCGGTTCGGGTCCCGCTCACCTGCCCGCTCTCGATCTCCCCGCTCACCGACACCAGGAACACGTCGGGGCCGCCGCCGGCCGCCATGGCGCGAGCGCCGTCGCCCTGGCAACCGCGGACGGCGCGCCGGCGGGGACAAACCTCCTCGGCGGGCGGCGCTTCGCGGGGCTGCCCCTCCGCCGCGCCCCCCAAAACACACCAAATCATCCGCGATTTTCTTGATTTATTTAAAATTTATTTTATTATTATTATTTTTGAATATAAACCTTTTCTCACGTCTTCGCCAGGGAGCGCGCGGTCCCGAGGCGGCCGCTAGAGGGCGCTGCGGTGCCGCGCAGGCCGCGGCGCGTTTGGCGCCGGAAAACGGCCGTTTTCTCCTCTTTTTAGCTGTGGATTTTTGGGAAACTCGGTCGCGAGGAGCGGGGAGGGCGTGGCCGAAATCCCGTCCGTGGGAATCGTGGAGAAAATCAGGACTCCGTTACTGGCATGGAGGAGAAAAGCACCCGCCGAGTGCCGGGCCCCTCCGAGCTCGGGGATTTTGTGTATAATGCAAAATAGTACATAAAATAGTACATAAAGTTGTAATGGAGCTCACTGTTGTATTTTGTCACTTTATTTCATTTTGTGTTAATATTTCTTGCAGCCTAAAGCCAGACCTAAAATGATACTGGTGGCCCAGGGCATGGTACGGCCAAGGGAATGGGGCCTTTTCCCGCCCAAAAAGCCTCAGATTTGGAAAAAAAAAAAATCTCCCATGGTCTCCATGAGGCTCCGAGTGCCAGGAATAGGGACAGGAGCCCCTCACCCGGCCTCTGGGCGCTGGCACCACGGATGCGATATTGTTTTTAATCCCGACTATTTACCACACACACCTGCTAAATAGCGGGTGAAATACATTTTACTGCGTCATTAATCCGCACTAAAACGGCTGTATTTTTAGGCTGCTTGCCCTGGGTTGCCTGACTCATTCCCGCCTGCTTTTTCTGGCTGCAAGGAGCTGCCGGGAGCTTCCCTGCCCTTTCCCTTAGGCGCCTTTTCCTTCTGTTCCTCGAGCTCTGCCCACCCGCTGTTCCCATCAAGGGACCTGGGAGTGCAGGAGAAAAGGCCGAGCTCAGCACGCGGACCTGGAATTCCTGCTGGAAATAGTTCCCCGGGGATTTATTTTCGTGGGAAGGAGCTGGCGGCCCWGCCTGTCCCAGTGCAGCCGGGAACTGTGTCCTGGATCCAATGGGTGTCCGCTGGGATGGGGAATTGGGCACCCCTCGCTGCTCCCCTCRTTAACGAGGGGTAATTAGGAGGCTGGGGCCATCTCGGACCCCTTCCTCAGGCAGGACACGGCCCTGCCGAGGACTGGGAATTGTCCGAGCTCCTGTGAAGAATTAATTTGTATTCGAACRCGTTTGTTTGTGAGATTTTTGTTGTTGCCAATGAGGAAAATGGATTAGTGTCAGTCTGAGCCAGGCAGGATCAAAGAGGAATGGGCAGAGGGTGGTGACGCCTGGAGGCGCTGGGATCCTGGGGCTCCTTAAGGGAATAGGAGCTGCTGCAGGACGGACTCATGGAGATTTGAGCCAGTGGGACCCTGCTACTGCTGCTGCTGCTCTGTCAGGATGCACAAAAACCTCCCAATTACGACCCATAAAGGCACCGACACGGCCCCAGCCCTTAGAGTCCAGCCATGTGCTTAACGCTTAATGGGGAAGGTTTAAAGCACGAAGTCGTTTGAATTATCCTATGGAAGCTTGTACAATTACTAAATGCTTATTAGTATTCCTGCAACCCGCATGATCTCGCAGCGATGACAGATTAAAGGTTGTAGCTAATTGCGTCGGGAATGGATTCAGATTTGGTTTTTTTTATGCTTTTTTTCTCCTCCTCAGGCTGAGACTTTCAGGCCGACATCCTCTGAATCGTAGCCTTGAAAGAGACCCCGTCTGAAGACACTGCAAGGCACTTTGTGAAGCTTCTTGTGTCCCCTGCACTATTGGTTTGAATCTTCCTCTGATCCCTGTTCCTCAAAGGCTCCCAGCGACGCTTCCTCGCTCCGCGGTCTCGCTGAGATGGAGGAGCCTGGCTGGCGACGACGCGACCGGCACGGCATTAAAAATGCAAAGTAGACATCGATCCAATTAAATAATAATGACCTGCATTTACCTCCCGCTTTTCACTTCCGACCGGGAGCCACGTAACGCTTGCAGAGAGCCTGGAGGAAATTGCTGATGGGCTCCCCGAGTCGACGGGCAGCAGCATTAAACCATTTCACGAGTCGTGGCCGGGTTTGGGCCGGCCTGGGGCTGCCTGACGCTTTGGGCCGAGACCTCAGGAGTCGCCCTAGGGATGAGGCGGGGGTTTCTGAGCAGCCGGTCCCCCCGGTCCAGAAATGCTCCATCCGAATGCAGATAGCGCAGGGGGCAGCAGCGGTGACCCCAGCCCTCGGTGTCCCCTGCGGCAGAGCCTGCCGTGTCCCCGCTGCTGGATCCTCGGTTCGGCTCCCAGAGGATGCGGGATCTAAGGCACCGATGCCGTGTTTTTTCCCATCCTTACAGCTGTGTCCTCGAGGATGGGTCCTCCCCGCGCCGCGTCCCACAGCGTCGCTGCCAGCACTTGCAGCTCGGTGCCCACTTGCTGTTCCTGCCCTGTGGGTGACAGTCCCCGGGAGGGACCCGGCAGCGGCGCCCGGGGTGGCTTTTCCTGGGGATGGGGGATCCTGTTCCCGCAGTGACGACCCGGTCGTGGTGTCCGAGAGCCGGCTGTGCTGGGGAGCTGCTCATCCACAGGCCCATCCTCTCCCTGGAAAGCAGCCGCGTTGGCAGCCAACAGGCCCGGCGCAGCAGCACGGGGCGCTCTGCCTGCTTTCCTCTTCTTTCCTTTCCCGTATCCAGTGAATCCCGGCCACTTCCCAACACCGGAGCCTGCTGGAGCAGCTGGGGCACCGTCACATCCCGGTTGCCTGCTCCCTTGAAGCGGATGCATGTGTGGATGCGGCTGCTCGACGCCTTGCGGGTGCCGGCGCTCCCACGGGACGGTTGCCGAAGGCGCCGGGGGGCTGTGGGGCACCCACTGGGGCCAGGAACCAAGTCCTGCACCAAGGAGCAGGGCACCGCACGTGCCGGGGCAGGACGCAGCCCAGCACCGGGAATTCGCCTCCCCTCTTTTCCAGCCTGGCGGTTAAACTGCAAGGCGAGGAGTCTGCSGCCGTGTCCCCAAAGCGCTATTAATAATTGCTGGCGCGGTGCTTTCCTGCAGCTCCTCGTGCTCCCACCGAGCCGGAATCATCACTGCCAATAATCCTCAATAACTGGGCATTAGGGGAAGCAACGGCCCCACTGGAGACTCACCTGGGTGCCCCGGCTCGTGCCCGAGGGCTCGCGGCACAAAGTCAAGCCACGCGTCCAGTTTATACAGTTTAATACAYGTGAAACAAGATACATTGCCTTTGGAGTAATGAATGCATAAATAACAGAAGATATATGTGAATGCATAAATATGAGGCGGCATGGAGGGAACCAAACAAAAGAAACGATTTAAAAAAAAAAATTGTTGTTGCTGCTGTTCATGTGTTTCTGCTGCTGCTGCYGCCCGGTGCGAGGGCCTGGCTGGAGAGCGGGGCAGGAGAAGGAAAGGAAGGTACAAAGGACAAACAAAGCCCCCAAAACCGAAAAATAACCCCCAAAAGAGAGAAAGGAAACGGGAGGTGTCGACTGGGGCTCCTCTTGCGAGGGGAGCTCCGGAGGAGAGGGGCCCGTTAGCTCGAGTGCTCACACAGAACATCGCCTAGGACAGCGCTTCACACCCTTGCACAGCGTAGCAATAATTTACTCTGAACTGCAGTAGACAAAATACATTTCTTAAATAATTTACTATTTATTTGCTTTGTCTTTTTTTTTTAATCTCTCGTACTTTTTTTTTCCTTTTTTTTAAATCTTTTTTTTTTGTAACACAAGAAACCTTGTTTGTGCACGTTAGTTCAGATTATTGCGACATGTAACCTGAATTTCAGTTAAAAAAAGGAAAAAAAAAAAAAGAAAAAGGAGAAAAAGGACAGTTGTACAGACAAGAAGAATGAATAACTTATTATTGCACTGGCTACAATTCAGTAGTGATTTGGTTTTTCTTTTTCTTTCCTGTAGTTAGGACRACCTCTAAAGTACAAAAGGAAAACGAGAGAGACACCTAAAGCGTCAGCGGCGAGAAGAAGCCGGCGGGATGATGGTGGAGGGCGGGAGGGAAGGGGCGAGAGGAAAACGGGAAGCGAAGAGAAACGTTTGGAAACCAAAGGGCCGTAATAATTAGTCCACGTGAACCCCAAGGGAACACCACCCAGTCGCGGAGTCACACGTAATGCAAAAACCAGCAGAGTTTCTCTATAAAAATATGTGCATTATGAAGAGAGAGTTTTTTTGTGGTACTTTTTTTTTGTCTTTTTCCTGGTTTTGTATGTCACAAATACATTATTTCTATGTATATAAGTGCCGATATACAGAGAATGTACAGCTCCCCCCGCCGGGGCTCTCCCGCCGAACGGGTCGTCTCTAAAAGGCGCCGTTTCCAAAATGGAGCAGGTTTAAAAAAATAAAACGAGAGGCCAGCGAGCCCCCCCGGCCCCCCCGCGTCCCCGCCACRCCGCACCCCAATCAATGTGACCGAGGCCGCGGGGGGCAGGCGGGAACGGGGCCACCCCCCGATCCGGCTCCCGTGTCCCGCTAGGAAAGAGCCCGCTCCCCGGCCCCGCCGCCGCTCAGCCGTCCGTTTGGTTTCTTGCTTCTTTAATCTCTTTTTTTTTTTCCTTTTTTTGTGTTTTTTTTTTTTTTTTCTGTCTTTTTTTTGCAAACCTCCACAGCGCTTAAGAACAAGTGACTGCCAAAAAAGGGGGGAAGAAAGAAAAAAAAAAAAGGAAGAAGAAAAGAAACAACAACAACAACAGAAGAAGAAACCCGGGAGCGGGGCCACGGAGCCGCGCGGTCCCTTGGGATTTTCCAACCCCCGCGTTTGGTGTCAAGCCCTTGAGACCCCCGTGTTCCCGGCGCGCGGAGCTATACGGGCTCCGGCGCGGCCTCCTCTGTCGCCACGGCCCCCGTGGCCGAGTCCTGCTTCCGAAGGGGGCTCCTGGCCGGGCCCAGCAGCTCCTTGCTTTTCTCCGGGGGGCTCCGCGGAGTCTTTGGGAGGTCGGAGTCCGCGGGGGCCGGCTCGGGGAGGCCGCCCGAGGCGGCGCCGTCCGCCGGCTCGAAGGAGAAGTTGGGCACGGTGAGGTGAGGCCCGCGGCGCTCCGCCTTGGCGGCCGCCTCCGCGGGCTGGCCCTCGGCCGGCTCCGGGGGCTCCCGGAAGGCCGGGAGCTCGCAGGACGGGGTCCTTCGGCGCAGCGTGCTGTTCTCGGAGGCCTTGGAGCGCGAGGCCGCCCCGCCGTCGTCCTCCATGGGAGGATCTATAGAGATGCAGGGCGGGCTCATCTTCTTCTTCCTCCGCGCGCCGTGGATGTACTCGGACTCGGGCGGCGCGTGGGCGGCCGGGCGCGGCTTCTCCTCGGCGGCCACCGCGAAGCCGTCGCCGCCGGAGGGGCAGATCTCGATGGAGTGTCGCCTCTGCTCGTCCGCCCAGCTCGGCTTAGCCAGGAAGCCCTTGGTGTCGATGCTGTAGAACTTCTTCAAGTCCTTCTCCCTGCCGCCGCCGCCGCACGGGCTCGGGGGGCTGCAGTTCTGGAGGGGCGACGGGGCCGGGGAGACGAGGGGCGACGTGGAGCGGCCGCCGGCGTCCGGGCGCTGGGCCCAGGCCTTGGCGGCGCTGTTGATGTGACTGACCTCCTGGTCGGCCGCGTCGCAGGGCTCGGCGGGGCCGCCCTCGGCCTCGCTGCCGCCGGGGCTGGGCGGCCGCCCRGTGCCGCCGCCACGTGGGATTTTCCGTGCGGAGAGGCCGGCGGGCCGGAGCGGCGAGCGCGGAGGGGAGCCCGGCATGGAGGCGGGATGCAGCGGGCTGGCGGGGAAGGAGCTCTGGCACGGGGACGTCTCGCCGGGCTCCGCTTGCAGCTTGTCCTTGGTGTCCGGCGGCTGCGTGTCCACCGAGTCCCTTCGGACGGCCTCCTGGAACGGGGGGACAGAGAGATGGGGCGAGAGCCTGGGCACCTCGGCGGGCAGCGCGGGAATGTGGCAGGAGGCGGCGGCCGAGGGTCTGACACACAGCAGCCCATCGAGCCTCCTGTGCCAGCCACGTCCTCCCTGCCCTTCCGCACAGCCTTGGTCTCGCTCTACATCTGCACCGAATCACGCGCCGATGCCACCCGTGGCTAGCGACATGGTGCAGGGCTGGCCCCGGGCTGCTCAGGGCACAGCAAAGCTGAACTGGGCATCTTCTCCCTGCACTTTGGCAYCTCCTTCATGAAACTCTATCTCCTCAAAGATGAAAACTGGTAGAAAGGACCTTTTCCTCAATTGTAACTCGCTGCCGCTTACGTGTATTAAACTTTACGGCACCAGCATCAGAAACATTTTGTTCTGAAGGAGGGAAAACCAGATCCTGGGGGTAGGAATGACTGGAACAGGAGGGAGCCGGGGGCCCACAGGGAGGGCTGCCTCCGCGGGGCCTTTGCCTCCTACCTGTCTGCACAGCAGCTTGTTGAGAGCAGGAGAGCGAGGGACAACGTGCGGGGGAAGGATCTTCCAGCGGGGGCGGCCTTCGTGGTTGGGAGAGCGYGCCAGCGGGAAGGTCTCCGTTGGGACTCGCAGGGAGGAGCAGGTGCCCGCGGGCTGCGAGTGGATGGAGGTGATGGAGCCTGGGAAAGAGAGAGAGCAGTGAGCACCACTGTGAGGCTTGGAGGCAGAACCGGGGCCTGCAGACTCCAGCAGAGAGGCAAGAGGGAAAGCAAAAGCCCTCCGAAATCTCGCACACCTCATGGAAGCCTTGGGGAGCACCCAGATGAAAACCTCCTTTTTGCTGTCTCCTGCTTTAAATGCTAGGCTGTRCCTCGTGAACAGGGAGGAGGTTACAAATGAAGTCTCCTCTGCAATTTGGCTGCGTTGCATGTGGCTCTGCCCTCTGSAACAATGCCCGTTCAAGCCCCCATAGACACAGGAGGGCCATCATGCCATCAGTGCCCATCATTCTATTTCAGATGAYGGAGTACTTGGAGCGCTCTGACACTCGCCACGGTCAGGAATCAAGCAGGAATCACTCCCTTCCCGAAGGGTCCCGGTGCCCTGGCCGAGCCTGAAGGCAATCCCTCTACCCCAGCCCCTTCGTGGTGCTGCTTTACTGCAGTTCTGCTTTATTTGAAACGTCTCATGCCTTTCTATTTCTTTTTTTTGGGGGGCTGGAKGATTTATTGTGCTCATTAGCTTGAAACCCCACGTCTGTTTCTACATTGCTGCTCCACGTTAAAAACACGGCCATCCATCACTTCAAGAGATCTCGCCCAGAGGTCAGGGAACTTGAACCTGTGACAAAAGCCATCCAGGCAGTTCGCAGTTGCATTTCRGAAAGAGATTTGTTGTAGGGAAGAGCGAAAATTTAGCATTTCATCGTTTTTCTTTAGGAGTTTTTCTCCAGAACGCCACAGGAACAGCGAGGTTTCCACCCCAAACCTGCCCCACTTCTTCCCATTTCATTTCTGGGCTCTCCAACAGCCCAAGTCCCAGTCAGAGTCCATACCATCCATGTATCAATCCAGGCTTTAAGAAATGTTTTTTATGATTCAGAAAAAAAAAAGTCATAAAATTTGTCACAAACACTGCCATAAAGTCAAAGCCCTACACTCTCCTCCCCATCCTTGGTTGGAATTTCCCCCTGTTGGAAGCTTTCCATCTAGCTCTTTTATATGAAACCAAGAAGTCCTCGAAACTGCACAGTCAGGAACACTGAAGGAAACCAAACACCCCACGATTTGTGCATTTTCCTCTTGTTTTTCTAATAAATCAAAGAACTGTGTCTAAGACAAAAATAAGAAAAGAATCGGTCTCTCTCACAATATTTTCATTGTGTAGACTCCATAATATTGGGAGAAGACCAGACAGCTTCAGATGACACTGAAAGTCCATGGAAGTATAATTGCTCATTCTAGCCTCTGTCCAAGCTCAATTTTACTCGCACTGTAGCTTATGGGCCGGCCACTTAACCAGCATTTGGTCTGGTCAGGAGTTGCACAACGCTACGTCACAGCAATCAGATGCACCCAGCAGGTCAGAAAAAAAAGAAGTTTCCCCATCATAGTCATTTCTCAAGTTTCCTTGGAGAGAAATTGGGTAAAGATGAGAAAATCCYAGGTCAGTTCTACCCACACCTGCCAGCATCACAGCAGTTTTACACTAGTATAAATCCTGATCTACACCCACTACAGAGATGAAAATCATCCCCAGTGGTGCAGCCATGAAACTCAACCTCTGTTTTCTTTGCTTAGCAAAGAATTTGCAGGTGAAATAATAATAAATACYGAGCAGAGAACACTAACCGGTATCCAGAGAGTTTAACAAATATAGAGTTACTTCACCCGAGGAAACCAGAGCAGATCCTGCCAATCCCACCAGGCTCTGCAAACCCACTACTCATCTCTCCAAGCTGTTCTTGCATTTCAAACAACATTGAATCAAAGGAAACCAGGCCGGTAAGTTCTTGGGAGCCACTCACGAAGCACATGTGCTTTTAGGGAGGCAGATATKTTCTTTCCTATTGATTTCCCCTTCAAATCAACTCAACAAAGCAGGGGAAAGGCATTTTTGAGGGAATATACTTGCATGCAGTTGCGCACACACAAAGCCTCCAGGCTCCGTGCGATTCCCTGACTGTGGGGTCTGTCCATAAGACTCATTACAGGACCAAGCTGCAGCAGCCCTGGAGAGCAGGGAAAACCATTAGGGCTTTCTAATCTTCAWGTTCCCAAAGAAACTCCTCTCTCTGTGAGCTCAATATACCGCACTGAAAAGCTGCTGCTCCGAGACAGGGCTGCAGAAGCAATTGTTGTGGAGGAGCTCTGTCAGGAAGCAATACAGACCCCAGAACTTACTCCTGGTGATTTTATTGATTTGCAGTCATGATGTCATGGTTGATCCCTTCTGAACAAACGTGCACAAATATCCTTTTGTTCAGCTGAGAGCTTGTTCTCGATGCCTCTCATACTGCTTGGGTGCCCCAACTCTCCGCAACCAAACCACCATTTTATATTTTATCCCGAGGAAATGCAGTCATGTGATAAAAACCCCAACTTCTGCAGGGAGCAGGAACCTTACCTCTTTGGGCTTTGCAGGGATACGTCTCCATCTCCACCTCATGGAGGGGGAAAGGGGCTTTCGCTGGCATCACAGGGCGGAACATGTAGCTGTCGTTGGGCAAGGAGTGCATGCGGGAAACGGAGATCTTGCGGACCGTCAGCAGGTTCTGCGGGTTGTGGGGACGCAGACAGGTCGCGCTGCCCTGCAAAGTGAGCAGAAATGGAAATATGGGTCATTCAGCATCTCGGTGATGGATTTGTGGCAATTTCCTTCTCATCTGCTTTTTGCTTTAAGACCTCGTGCAGATGTTCCTCTTGGCATCTTGCAGAGCCTGGTGACTGCAAGGGGAAAGTGGTCTCCTTCGCAGCTGCTCAGGACAGAGCTTAAGTTGTGGCTTGGGTAAAAAGAGGCATCAATAACCAACCACAGCGCTGAATCTTGGACAAYGCAGAGTGAAAAAAAGGTCCAGGAAACGGGCCCATTCTCTGCACACATGAAAAAGCCAGCAGTTTTCATGTTTACATTCTGATTTCCTTGAGTGGCAGTGAACCCTGGTCCCAGAGCCACAAAAATTGGCCAAATGGCCAAAGGAAAAGTTGGCCAAATGGCCAGTCTCAGTCCACAGTGACCGAAGGTACCAAGTGTTTCCGAAAATTCGTGTATTATCCCCCCCAGTACAAACATACACATGGGCAGACAGGTAAACACACACCCACATTAACACCAGGGCCTCTTTCCCACAACACARAGCGCTCGAGGCACCACCAGCCCCAGGAGAAGGCAGCACACGGTGGGAAGCAGAGGGAAGGGGAAGATGCTCCAGCCCAGCAGCACACAGGGTGAGGAGTCCCCATCAGAACACATAAGGAATCTGAATGTCTCTGTGTGCAGCTGTGCAAGAGGGGTCTAGTTGGAAGTGGCCAAAACGAGCAGGGCTCATCATGGATCTCTCCAAAGTGCTGGTCCCCTCATTGGTTCCCTGAGGCCTTCTGCAGGGTCACCTCAATAGGTCTCACAGCACATTCATCCTGGGGGCACATTTATCCGAAGAGAGTCAAATGATGCCGGAACAGAGGAGGTTCCACAGCTTGGCCGAGTGCATGGAGAAATGGGAGCCCTTGGAACAGAATCTGCAGCCTGGCACCTTGCCCCAAGGTTTTAGTCCTAGACACATTCCCCTCACAATTTACCAAGTTATCTAAAGAACAACTAATCGCCCTGGTTTTCCTTTAGCGTCAGCCTCCAAGTGACTGATTGAAAACATTTTCCCAGCTGCACGTCTTAAATTATATATATTTTGCTTTGCTCCACCAGGCTGTTTTCCCTCTGTGCTAACAAAATCTGGGCCTGACATCTCTCACTGGATAGTTTGGAGGTCACCAAGAATCTAGTTAAATCTGTTTTTTTTCAGTGCATTCCTGACTCACAATTTTCTCTCCGCAGATCCCTAAAGAAAGACACCCTGAGCCAAATTACTTGAAGCTTTAACCCTGTTGAACTTGGCTGCGAGGACGGGGGGATCAGCAGGAGTTATTCACAGGTAGTTGGCACCAAGTGCTAAGTGCRGGCTTGCACGGCAGACCTGGGGGTGCCACCCAGACCTTTCATCTGCTCTGTGAATGGACCAGCAACGCGGGCTGTGCCAGCTGGCCTTGGGCCAGCGCTGCTAATAAGCCATCAGCTTCCCAACACCTGAGCCAAACACAGCCGGGCAATTGTTAAAACCCTGCTATGTGAAGAGGGAAAAAACCCTTGCTCCTCTTTCTCAGTGGTCTAACAGAAGAATCACAGTATTTTTCTATCAAATCTTGATTCTTGTTTATAGGCTTTTAAGTGGCTCTTTGCTGGCTGGGATGAATGTATGAAAATCTCCTCTTGACACAAGCAGCTGTGATTTTAAGGGTTTCAGTTACTGAGACCCAGGCACTTGGGCAGATTTCAAAGGTGCTATGAGAAATACTTTGAACCATGGCAATCTTAAGCATGTGCATGAAGCTTGTTGACTCACACCTGGCACGCTGCACTCCATATACTGGAAGATTTGGGGACACCCCAGAGAACTCCTGCTTGGTGGGAAAAGCTCCATGCACTGAGGAGTCTCATCCTGCACCTGGGGAATTCAAGGCAGCTCTTCAAATACCACGAATGTCCATCCTGGACTGGCTGCTTTTGGGAATGCTGGCGCCAACACACATCAGCAGCAGATGTGAGGCAGGAGCATCCCAAGCACTCAGATGTCTTCAGATGTGCAAGGTGAGAATCTACTTATTTTGGAACCCCTCTCAGGCCGAGCAGAAAGGCAATAAATGGACTGCAGAGGGCCTTGTTGATGCAGCTCAGAGATCTCCGTCAAGTGCCTTAAATCCGTGAGCCAAGTTCCCSTGACTGGGAATCAATATTCTACTGGAGCTCTGATTTTGCTCTGGTGCTGAGTGAATGCAAGAAAAACAATCCTGCAAATACCTCCACAGGACACGACCCTTCCTGGGTGATTAAAGAGCTTGAAGTTACTCTGTAAGCAAAGGAGATTCGCAGGATATTSTGGAATGGGGAATGCTGTTAGTCCTCAGAGGCCAGGAGCCAACAGCCCGCAAACAAGCTGTGGGCCCAGTTCCTGGAGGAAGGGCTTCTCCTCATCCCTGTTGTCCATTCTGGCCAGAGGCTGCATCTCCAGCAGCGCCTCCCACTGCCTCTGGGATGGGGAAAGGAGAAGGTAACAAGGGCAGGAGATGAGAGGTCTCATTCTGCACATGCCAATGGTGCAAACCTCCGTGCAGGCCAACTCTGGGGGCTTAAGGGGCCACCTCTGTTGGTCCTTGCAGAGATAACAAGCTCTCTGCTCTGCCAGCAGAAACTCAGGGACCTCTTGTAGTTGTATTTACAAAGTCCCAGTTATTGCTTGCCTTTGAAGGATGTCTTCCACCATGTTCTCCCTTTGGTGCTACCACAAAGACCCTTGATATCCAGGTGGAGAAACTAAAGGACACCTGGTGGAGCTATGATGGATTAGTTATATGGCTTCTTTGGTGGATTATTCCTTCATATGGCTCACTCCCTTCCTCGCACAGGGAAACCTGCTTGGTCAGCAAGAGCTGAATCTGAGCACAGAATTTGCTTGGAGATCTTGCCAGATACTCGCCATTAAATGTGCCTTGACTCATGATAGAAATCAGAAATAAAGAGGAAAACAGGCCAGCTCTAAAGCAGATTAACACCGGGTGGCCGCTGCATGTTCTCTTTGATCACAGCAAATCGCTCTCCCTTGCAGCATGGACATCTTCTGGCCAAAGTGCTACGTGGCCTCTCGTTCCTTCTTCCTGGCTCATTCACTAGCAATGTCAAATGATGGTGGCCAACTCCTTCAGCCTGGGGAAGATCTTCAGGAGCCAGGAAAAGCAAAGGAAAAGATGGAAAAGAAATGTTCACCAGCCTCCTCCAAAGGACATCCAAAGACGGAGTGCGGTGGCCAGCGCCAGCATGATGCCACGCTGCCTTTTCACATGGCAATGTCACAGGAGAACCTGACGGGCCCTTTGGGGCAGCTGCAGCTCCACTCAACAGGCCCCTCCAGCTGCCCTGCGCTGACTGCAGAGAACATCCTGCTCCAAGCTTCACATCAAGGTCTAGTGCTGGCCCAAARCTGACCCTGGTTTTGAAGGAAAAAGACTGGAAGCAAAGCATGTCAGCGCAGGAAATGGCCTGCTGCTGGCACAGGCTTCAAAGGTCACTTCTTTCACAGCAGGCAGGAGAGATGGCAGCTCCGTGTGACTCACCAGCCCTCCTYGGTGCATGGCTGAGGCTGAGAGCAGGTTCTTGTGCCCATCTGAGGACATCTGGAGCTGACTYGGCCCAGCAGGGCAGGCCCTTATGGACATCCCTTATGTGATGCAAACGGGCACCGGTCCGTGGTGCAAACAGAAGGGACTGAGCTGGGGGCTTCCAGCCCCTCTGCTCTGCTGGCTGATCCACCCAGAGCAGCTGCTGAATCCACAGCTCAGCCACGAGCAGAAACCTCTGCTGAGGTTGTGTACAGCGGGTAAACTAGGGCCCTGAGTGTCGTCTCAGAGCTGCTGGAGCCTGCAGCGCCCAGGCTGGGACAGTGGGTGTYGATTTACTTGCATCGTTCTGCCTCCTCAGTGCTGTGCTACAAACAGGTTCTTACGGTCACGGCAGGGAACCCCAAACTGGTCTGCGTTTCTACTGCAAACTAAGAGAAGACTGGGTGGATTTCCAGCTGTAGTTATACCCTTTGAAAGCAAACAGCTTAAATATCACAGTATACATTAAAGGCAAGATTTTTTTTGGCTAAAAAGAGCATTTCATTTGTGTGCCTTATAAGGCTGCTGGCAGAATTGTTCAGACCATGCTTTTTGGCTCAGCTACTGAACACGCAAGGCAGTACGAAGGACAGAGGACAGAAATGACTGTTCTGGCTGTGAAGAGACAGGTCTAGGACAGTCAGACACCACGGGCAGCTGCACAGCACCGAAGCACAAGGCCACAACGTGGGAGCCACGGCGCGGCGCCATTCACCTCAGCCTCGTGGCCTGGGCTTTTGGGAGAAGCTGCCAGGACATGGTGGGAGACAGAGCAGAAGGACGAGATTTCCATCATGGGAGTCTCTGCCCTCTCCAGCGYGTCTGAGTCTGGGATGGCTAAACACACATTCTCACAGCTCAGCGCCTCCTTCGGGTACAAAATTAGGGAGATAAAAAGCATCAGTAGCAGAGCAAGGCTGGGTCTTTTGCTTCAACCATTGGGTTCCTCGCTACTTGTCCTCTGCACACCAAGTGACCAGCGCTGGGAAAAGCTCAGGGCTTCTCATGTGCTCAGGAGACACTGGCGGGTCAGGGAAGCTTATGGAGACTGAGCCTGTGCAGAAGGATGTGTCCTCTCTTCTCCCAAACAGAAAATCAAGCTGGCTGTTTGTGACACACTTTCTTGCAGAAATTTCTATTAGGAACTACATTCAAATAGTGAATTCCCCACTGCCATGTAACTAAATTCCTTTTTACTTAACTTAATAGAGTCTGATGGATTTTACAAAAAATCTAATTTAATGTAATTTAATCTCAAATCCTCCATTGATTTTGTGGTAGATTTATTTGTGATCACAGTCACAAAGCAATTCTCTATTCAGGCTTAATCATATGCTGCTGACATGAGCTGAGACAATCACCTCACGCCCTCCCTTCTGCCTGGCTTCTGCTTGCCCTATTTTTCTGGAGGACTAGCAGGGATGGGAGAGCAGGCAGTGTCTGGAAAGCAAATCCAGGGACCTCCAGCCTCCTGCTGGGGAAATCTGACAGTGCCCCAGGCTGAGCAGGAGCCAAGGGGAGCTGCGTGCTCACGTCACAGTCAGGGCTGGACTGTCCTGAGCTGTACGGTGGCATTTTCAACACGTGCAGCGTTCCAGAGTCACCTGGGCTTCAGAAATATCTGATGCTTCTCTGGAAATCCCAATATGGGATAAAAAAATGCTGTGTTGGGTTACCGTGTTGGTGTGAAAGGAATTTATGCCTTCCCTTGCCATGAGGGTTGTCAGAGCCAGGGTGCCCAGGGCTTTCTGCGATGCCTCCCACGTGCAGTGGGCCATGCTGAATGACACGGAAAGATGTGGTGGCCCAGGGAGAGGATGGGGACATGTGACCGATACGCTTCTGAACTTTAAACCCACAAACTTTGAATGACTTCTTTGGAAATGGCAAGAGATGAAGCTTCCAAGTCACCTCCAAGGACAAGCAGGACAATGTTAGCCATGGAGGGCACTTGCCAGGTGCCTTGGAGAGCCTCCTGAGACGCAGTGACCAGCAGGAACCGCCCCCACCCCAAGCAAGGGAGGAGTAGATGCCTTGAGGGAGCTGTTACCAGGGCTTGGTGTTTTGGCTGTAACGCTGGCTCAGATTTCAGGACTTCCTGGCTTCTGTAGGGTGCCCTGCCCTCCAGGGCCACGGCACCTCCTCTGCTCCCGCTGCCAGCTGCAGTGGTCGATCCTCTGGACATCTCCAGCTCAATCTCAGCATCCATTTCAGCATCCTCCTTCGCCTCCTTGTTGCTCTCCTCCAAGTGCTTCATCAGCACCGCCACCACCACGTTGACCAGCACAAACTGTGCAATGAGGACGAAGGTGACGAAGTAGACGGGAGAGATGACAGGCAAGTAACTGAGGCAGTGCTTGTCTTCCCGGGTGCATTCCCGTAGAGTGTCCTGAAACACAGCGGGAGACGGGGGGTTGCATAATGTGGGGCTCTGAATATTGAACACTCACAGACAACACGTTTAGGACTGAAAAGTGTAATAACACACCCCAGACACAATGGCTTGGGGGTACAACCAAAGCAGAAGAAATTGTGGAATGATTACACCATCCACAGCACAGGTCTTTAGCTAYAGACCCAAACAGGAGGATTGTGTTTTATCCCAAAAGCACCAGAGCACACACTTTCTCCTGTCAGACTCCAAATTTCAAATGGAAGAGCTATTTTTTTTTATATATTTTAGAAACTTTGGTTTTAAAGCCCTGTTTTGATACAAGCGATACCTAAATTTGTTTAAAATTTATCTGTGTTTCTACTGTTTAAGGGAAGTAGCCAGACAGAGATTGCACACACCTTCATGATACCATTCCAGTTGTCCCCTGTGGACACCCTGAAGAGGGTGAGAAAGGCCATGCCGAAGTTGGTGAACGTTGCGTGCCGGCTCAGCCCTTCACAAGGATTCTCTTCACTGCAGTCTGCAGAACAAAGAAGTGGAAGCAGGTCAGTGAGGCCAGCTTTGCCAGCTCTCATCTACCTTCAGCCTTTTTGGTTCACCAGCATCTACAGCATGTGGTTGGGACACCTGATATCTGTGTTTTCTTCAGTGCCATAAGGTTGGAGCCTGTTGTACCCAGAGCTGCCTTCCTGCACCTGGCTGCAAGACCCTGAGATACATCATGGTGATCCACAGCACTGAGGAAGACTCTGGCTACTGACAGATAATCTCAGCCTGCAACTGCTGAAGCCACTGAGACACCAAGGAGCAAAACTCTTCCCAGTTGGGCCAGGCAATATCCCACCTGCAGGATGCTGCAGCCCTGGGMCAGGTCACCAGGGAGCTGGGGGAGTTACATCCTTGGAGGTTTTCAAGATTTGGTTGGACAAAGCCACAGCTGCCCTCATCTAGTGATGATGCCTCTAGTGGGAGGTTGAACAGGGGTCTCTGAAGGTCCTTTCCACTATTTCTGTGATTCTCTTGACTTTGCACCAAGAGGCAGAGGCAACACAAAGAGATTTAAAAGGAGGTGGAAAGAAGRCGGCTTCTGCTGTGCAGTCTCAACAAATCCTGCTCTACAGTAAGCTCTGCCTATTACCCTCTTGGTTATGTTCCTTGTCTTGATTATTTTTTACAGGCACATCTACCGTAAGGGATATTTCACTGGAATAAAGTGGAGCGATTTGACATTTTTTCCCCCTGAGAGTTAATACACTAATGAATGTAAATTGACCGCATAAAATGTCCCTCTTTCCATAAAACATGGGTTCATTAAGTTTTTATGAGGATGGGCAGCAATGCCTCTTGCAAGGGCGTTTCGCTATTAGACATTTATTTCAGAGGCAGATAGGAAAGCAAAGCAAACAAATCTAAAAAACCAAACACCAAACCCTCCACAACTGACCAGCCCTGCGGGGAGCGAGTGTCGGCACTTCTTGAGGCTGACCTAGACCAGCAGTGATTTGGAAGAAGAGAAAATATTTCCTTCTCAAAGGAAGGAAGGGTTGTGCTGATTGCCCGGGTTTGGCTGCTCACCCTGGATGAGACTGGGGCTCTCCTGGTCTCTGACCACACGTAGCTGCTACTCGGACCCTGGGATTAGCAAGGGGTGTGTATGGAAACACACAACTGATTCAGAGCAGCAGAAGGTGCCTCTGCGAATAGGGCATTCTTCATCTCAGTGGATGAACAGATACACAGCCATATATTTATATATGCAATATAAAAAATATACAGGATTTCATTTGGGGTGGATGCAGAACCATTTTTTTTTTTCCAGAATTTGTGGAGTCTGAAAAATAATTTTTCTCAGGTTGAAAGAAGTATTTTGCTTTCGGGCATTTGTAGTATGAGCAGAGGGCTGGACTCATAAAGGGGATTAATGACAGCAATAAAACCACTGTGGAGGAAAGGCCTTTCTGATGCTCTTGAAGCCCTAATTGGGATGTGAGCACTGAGAGGGCTGCAAGAGGGGAGACTYGTCTCCCTCAAAGCTGGGCAATACAGAGCTGGAGTCTTTCCTCKCTGCTCCACCTCATCTTCTTTTGAATAGTGGCCACGTTCATGACCAGCTCTGCAGTATCATTGAGCAGGAGAAGTAAAAGGTTCTTCTGGACAATGGGGAAGTCAGTGGATGCCTCCTGATTTATGCAAAAAGGAGAAGGTGACGCTGAGAGCAACAACAGACCGACAAGACTTAGGCAGCTGGAAGAGCAATGGCAGCCAAGCACAGAAAACTAATGGAGTGTGGTGGAAGCTCCCAGGAGAATATGTTTATGGTGGCATCTCGCCAACACAGATCTGATTACCATCCAGCTTTAGAGACTCATGTGCTGCCTTAAGTAGCAAACTTCCATCTTTGTGAACCTACCCATGCTGGACAATTATATTTAAACAGTAAATAGCTTCTCTACAGCCAAGGGTGGTGTTGGACAAATCTATAAATGTGTGTGTGTGCACTGGACAGGTTCTGTATTACATCCCCATGTGTCATCTGTGACCCTGAGATCAAGAGAAAGCTTTAATCTTTAGAGTSCAAGCTGTGAAGCTAAGGAAGGCCCAAGAATGAGAGAGAAAAGAAAGGAAACAGCTTAGATACCAAATAAATATCAACCGGATGAAATAAATTATGTCAGGCACATTACTCACCTAGCTTGCCAAACAATTCCACTCCCAGGGCAGCATAGATAAAAAACAGGAGCATAAAAAGAAGGCCAAGGTTCCCTACCTACACAAGAAGAAAGCAGAACAAGGGTCAGGCAAGTTGAGGTCACAAATGAAATTGCTCCATCACATTTTAAATACAAGTAAAAGAGGGACTGGTGGCCTTAGGTCAATCATTACCTCCCCTGGTTTCCAATACTCTGGTTCTGTTTCATGACTCTGCTTCAACAGACCATGGGAGATGCTGAAGGACCAGTCATTCCTAGGGCAACACTGCTTCTATGCACAGCACGACGTCCCCATCCCCTTCCACTTACAGGGATGCTGCCTTCACCTGTAATTTGGCCAAGCAGCAGCTGCGGCCTCGCTGGCACTTAGTGTGGTGCTTGAGTGCCACAGTAGTTTAAGTACCTGCTGCTCTGGTTTGAGCTTGGACAAACAAAAACCAAAAACAAACAAAAACAAACCCCAAAGCTCCAGCATGAGAGCACCCTGCTGCTCTGGCTGCCCCRGCAGATGTAGCCTCCTCATGGAGCAGGATGAGCGAGTGACCAAATACGTTGTCCGTGCTTGTCCAGCGCTCATCGAGACCTGTCGTGGTCCTCCCCAGGGCCGGTGCCCGGAGCAGGGACCATGGCTGGGAGCAGGGATGGGCTGGGCAGGCGGCAGCGAGGTCAGCCAGGGGCTGTGGAGCAGCAGGAGCACAGACTGCATGCGCGTCTGCAACCTGGGGTGAGTCATTCCCCCCCCGTAACTCCACGTACCCGTCTCTAATACCCTTGCAGGGAGGTAATTAATGTCTCTGAAGCACTTGGAGATCTACTGAGACCAGACGAGGAAAAGACTGTGCATGAATCATGTTGCTATGAGAACAGGAGGGGGAAGGAGACACCCCGGCACATTTCCCCYGCAGCCAAAGGCCTGGACGCCTCTGCTGGACTTTCCATCAGGGACCAGAGATCCAACTCTGACCAGCAACGGCATTTTGGGCAGCTTGTCACCCCGACACGCTCTGSAGAGGTGGTTCTGCTCTAGCAGCTCTGAACAGCTCGGCCCATGCTCTGTTTATCCATCAAACTCCCCTGGCTTGTCCTGGGTGCCTTTGGCTGGACAAAGAAAGCTGAAACCCCCCTACTCTCCAGCATCCATCATTTGGGCTATCCATCATTTGCCATGATCCAGGGGAGGCTGGAGCCTGTAGGGAGTGAAGCAGAGGCAAAGAACATCTTAGAGCTCCTGCGTGGCCTGGGAAAGCTGCCTCTCCTCAGGCTAGTGCAGGCACAACTGCCACTAGCACCATGTCCAGCTTTTTTGCTTCTCTTAGGTGAACTGTGGTAGCTCAGCCCCACTGCACGTCCAGCCATCGGAGCGGGACCTCTGCTCCACGTCACTCAGGAAAAAGCCTGGATCTGCAGACACCCGGATGCAGAGCAACTACACCGGGTTGTGTTAGCTTGATCCACAAGTTGTGGTACCAACCGGTGTCTGCTCCTCATCAGCGCCTTGCACGGGCAGGGTGGATTTCACCCGTTGCGGGGAGCCTCTGGGGATGCCGAGATGCAAGTTACTACCACACTGATCAGGATACAACCATCACATCTCWGCAGTATCACTGGCCAGTGCAATTCCACCCAAATCCCTCTGCAGCCTTGGCCTCTCCCTGCTCCAGGTGAGGCACTGATGGAAGATGCCTCTTCCATGGACACCCCTTGTCCTGCTGCAGCAAGCGTGAAGATCACGACGGCTCCTCTCGTGCATGGGGCTGCTCCAACATCAGTTATTTCTGCATCGCTGGCCCACACCTTGGCGTTTCACTTGTCTGTGCAGGCAACGTGCACGGCTCCCTGGGATGCTTGTCAAGAGCAATTTCTCATAAAACTAAGCCTCTGCCAATCCTTTCCAAGGACATGAGTCCTCCTTGTCCTCCTTCCAGCACTCTCCAGCCAAAGCAATAAGTCGGGAAGCAGGAAAATATAGGCTAATTTATGCACAAGACCCAGGAGGAAATGGACACATTTGTCAGCTTGGAAAATGAAGGCCATCTGTGTGGAGTCCAGGACTGGTGGAGAGGGCCAGGCTGACAACCTTGGGGGCTGCAAGCATCTCATTTGTGCAGGCCCGAGGCCACGAGCAGAACTGAAGAAGCTCCTCCTTTTGGGTATCTGCTCAGTCCCAGGGGGACCAGTGCTAAGAACCCACACAGGGCTACCTGCTTTGGCCAGTGATTTCTGCTTTTCTACTGACCGATCTCAGGCATCTCTGCAAGGTTTTCCAGTATGCAGCATGGCATGGCACACTGCTACACATCTTCCAGAGCCCGTCTCAACCGCAGGATTTGCTGGTGACATTTCTGTTCTTGCTGTCTTTACAACCACTGTGAGTTTTCAGCAGGTGATTCCTTATGTCCCATAACTGCTCTTAGGCAATGCCAAAAACACCATCAGGACAAGCACAGGGACTGCAGCACCAAGAAGAGTTAAACTCTGGACAGGAGCAAACTGCAGGCTTTGTCCTTCAGGGGACTGATGGAACGAGGAGTTCTTCACGTTTTTCTTGGCACAGACTTTATGTGGGGGTAGTTCCAAGCTTTGAAGACAAGGAGGAGGTATGCTGCACAATCCTGCATTGAACTAAAGTGCCTTCTACAGACCAAGTGGAAAAAAAAGAAGGAAAAAGAACTCGGATCGTCTAGATAGATGGGGCTGGATTTCATTCTTAATCAGAATGGTGCAAGTCAGGAGTCACTGTGATATAACTGGAGTGGCATAAAAAAGAGCATCAAGAAAGAGAAGAAAAAACAGACCACCTTGCAAAATGGGACCCTTCAGCTGCTTAATTATGTCTTATATTTCTGTATATTCTGTACATTCTGTAAATGTTTACATTCTGTAAATGTATCATTCTCCCTAGGCTTATTTAAAAAAAAGACCCTGGCCTTTTTCTAAAGTGAAATCGTTGCATGAGAAAGGACCATGGAAAACCAGTAACCTTTTCTCCCTTTGTGGCTGTCACTATTGCTGCTGACAGGATTTGATAGAGAAGTCCCACAATCAGCTGTCACTGGCCCTGCAAAGCCCAAAAGGCAACTGGACTGGATTTCATGACGAGCCATCAGGAACAGCACTGGCAGCTTAGTGTTGACTGCAGATTTTCTTTCTTCTGAATAGAAAAATGAACTTGCCCAATGCAGGCTAAAAGARTAAACATCTACTGGAAGAACTTATTTCCTAACACTTCCCATCCACCAAACAAGACCGAGTGGCTTTTAAAAGACACACACAAGTTCAATCCTGAGCTCYGTGGCCTGTGCTATGTAAGGAGCCAGTCTCTGAGCTCAGCAGGGAGGTCTGAGTGTGGAACAGAGCTGGCTGTGCTGGACCTGGCACTGTCTGAGGGATGAAGTCAGTTTTGGTCAGGCTAGCCCAGCTCGCTGTCTGGTTTTAGCTGCTCAGTTGAAAGCAGTGGCTATATTTCAAGTTTACACCAGTGTCTCCAATTTTAGCATTTGGCACTTTGGAGTCCATCACAGTTTGCTTTCATGCTCCAAAATGGCACACCATGGTTCTGAGCGGAGACCAGCATTGCTTTTCTAGGTGCCTTTGGCCACCCTGCCAGYCCAGCCTCTTGGTCATCCAGCTGAGAAACTGGAAAACTCCTTGAATTCCTCTTTGAAAAGGACATCCTGTCTCGAGATGCACAGTAGTGAGGAAAAGAACCATGCTGCACAAGCACAGATGTCCTGGGCCAACAACATGATGACTGAATCAAGCCTGCCCAAGGGTTTGCTGAGGCTGACAGGGTACAGAGCTCGTATGCAAAGAGGGTGCTGTTTGAGCTCTGTTCTCAACCATTCTTTCCGTCTCTTGCTCTCCTCATTTTTCCACTCCAAATCTCTTTGGGTTTTTTTTTTTTTTTGATCTGGTGGAAAATCTGTGGACTGGTAGTCAGAGAACCAGGGGACAAGGAGGCTGCAGTAGGGTAGGAGTTCCTCCTGCACTGCAAAGAGAAGCTCAAGATCAGCCTGAGCTGAGGTTCCAGGAGAGGAGACTTGGCCTGCAGCATGACAACTTCAAACTTCCATGCTGACAGCCCCYAAGGCTGCAGAAAGGCAGTTTTCTAGATGTAACTCAAACTATCTCTACAGCTGAATGAAAACAAATCGGACGCTGATGGAAACCATCAAAAAGAGAAAGAAAAAAAAGTATAACGACACTACCTTATTATGCTAAGGCCATAAATGGACATTTAACATATTCCAGATAACAAATTTTCTCCTCAAATTTCCTGGGTAAACATGGAATTAATTTTTCTTGTCACTTAGCAGACACATTCAACGAAGCTTTCTAGTTATGGTTTTAGACTCCTTAATTCAGTGGGTAGGAACTCCTCCCCTGCCCTTGAAAGGAAAGCTGTAGCTTTCCATGTGGGAGAAGTCTTCCCAATTTTTCCTCCTGGTTTTCTGAATTACCCTGGAAGACAAAATGGCATTTTGATTCACACAAGTTTGCTTGGGTGATCTCTGGGGATTTCCCTCTAAAGAAGACTTTGGGATGAATGTTAAGTGCAAAAAAACCCCAGGGAAACATAACAAAAAAATGGCCTCCTGCCACCCTATTGTTCGGGGGGGAAAAAACAAGGAGAGAAAGTATTCTCTGTAATCACAGTGCTTTCAAAAGACAAATAATAGRCACAAATCAACTGCTTTTTTGAAATGCCAAAACAGGGGTCAGGTTGGTAAATTCCATGCTTTAGTCTCAGCCAAGCTGCTTCACTGAAAAGGAAATCTGAATACCAAAAGGCAAATGTCTTAGATGAGAACCATCTTTATGGCAGCGATGAAGAAGAAATGCGTCTTTCCAAGAAAAAGAAATTCCCCTCATTTCCCAGGCCATTTTTAATAGTGGCTGTGTTTGCACTCTGTTTTATGCGGGGGTGAAGGGGTCTACAAGAGCCTGGGCYATGACAAGGCAAATCCACAGTCCCCTTCCCCATCTCCAGTTCTGTCTGGCACAGGTTACGTGATACTGATGATGTAAAATAGGACGGTGTGGACAGCTGAGCTAGCTCTAGCAYTGAAAAATCAGGAATCAGATCACCAAACCCACAATCCAGCAGAACACAGCTTAAATATCATACGATATAAGAAAACCAGAGAAAGACTAAGCTGCCTTTAATTCTTCTGATGTGCCTTAGATCTTCTGGGGGGAGAAGTACAAGTCAGCAAAGCATTGCTTTCTTTTTTTTGCAAATGCAGTAATTGATCCATAAAAAAAAATGGTCCCAGGAACACAGCATTTGAAGGATCTTATCAAARATATCATGACTGGCAGCATCATCGTTCCTCCTGCAGTTTATGAAAACAGTGATTTGAACCGCCCTCCCCCGCTTTTAAGGTTYGAACTTTCAGAAATGCCTCCCCTATTTGGCTTTTAAAGTCTGCAACTCCTCTGTCAATAAATGTCAATAAACATAACTGCTTCTGCCTCGCAAAGAAAACCGCCGCGCTGGAAGCTGTTTGCTTCCAGGACTTTCATTAACAGCTTTCTCTGTCTACCCTGTGGTTTCCTGACCTCCCCAGTGAATTCTCTGTGTTGGAAGAGCTCTGTCTACAGCACTGAGCTCTCCGTTAACTCCTTTTCCATCATTCTGTTTCTCCTACCTAACACGGACTACGGGGGCAGGATTTACTCTGCACAACTCTCCTCTCAAGGCACTGGTGGTGGTGACAGGTGGCTTCTCATGTGCACTGAGCACAGGGACACAGAGCTGTCCCCAGTCCCAAATGCAGAGTCCACCAAGGAGAACAAACTGAGCACAGATCAAGTGTGGGGGCTTACCTGGGGAAGTGCCTGCACCACTGTGTCCAGGAGAGCTCGCATCCCAGTGGCCATTTTAAGCAGTTTCAGCACTACAATGAGAACCAGAACCCAGTCAGTGGGGATGGGGTACGTCTGGGGCAAAACCATAAAGAAAATATCATTTCAGTTCCTTTTGGGAGGGTTCAAATCTCTCTTGTACCTGTTCGCACATATGGCAAACTCACTGCATCCTGCAAGGTCCATAAAGATCTAAGCATCCTGACTCCATCCCTCACCAACTGATATTAAAGACTTGGGTAAAACAGGCCAAAAGCCACAAAAATTCCAGTATGTCCTAGCAGGAAAATRAGAGCAAGATGGGGAGATGCTTTCTCAGGGAAAAGCATCATCACAAGCTCTGATCCTCTCTTTTCTGCTAGTTCCTCCTCATGTTTGGCACCAGTATAAACAGTCTGGAATCCTAGGTTTGAATTGGAGACCAAGCTGAGATCCCTCTCAAAATGCTGCTGAAATTTCATCTACYCTGCTTCTGCAAGACCATTCTACAGCCTCATCTTGTAACTGTTCTCAAAACCAACCGAAAGACCTCCGGAGAGAGCCTTACCTCTGGCTATCCTCAGCACGCGCATGATGCGGATTATGGTGGGATTGATGGGCAGCGCAGCATTCATCTCAATCTCCTCCAGCGTGATTCCCACGATTGACAAAAGAACRATGGCCAAGTCCAGCTGATTCCACCTAATGGATAAAGAAAGGACAATAAAGGAAAAGCACCCATGGATAGTCAGCCTAGAAAGATGCCCAGGAGTAGAGAACTGCCTGATAATCACAGGCAAATCCCAAACTCTCTCCTCTCTCATATCTGGGCTGATGATCCCATTCTAGGTGGCACAAAAGAAACTCCCTGCAGTTGGCATGGACAGTCCCTGAGCCACTCAGTGCTGTAGGCTGGCATTTGATTCTGCTTCCCTGTCCCTATCATCCTCTGCACCTAGAGCCACTCTCGGAGACAGGATATTGGGCTAGAGGGAACAGTTGCTCCCATGTCACACCCTTGATCTGAAGGCACTGGGGCTCAACACAACCACCTCCATCTTTGCTAAGGGGTTGACAAGGGCAGCAGCCTACCAAAGGCTGGCCTAGTCCTCTAGACTGAGCAAGCTGCAGCTGGCAGAGTGGCAGTTCATGAGGTTAGGAACTTATCTGCAGTTTTGCCAGATTCCCTGAATGTCCCCTGCAAACAGGAACAGCAGTTCTGGGGACTTCTGGCTCCTACGCTATGAAGTTGCACCCTCAGAGAGGCAGCCCTTTGCAATTCCTTGCACACAGCGTGTGGTACTACTGGTGCAGAGATGCTACGTTTACCCAGCACCTGGCTTCTAAACTGGGTCGGTACAGCTCTATCCCAAATGCAAAGTTGTTTAAAACACTCTCACCTGTCCTTAAAGAACCTCCGAAAACCAAACGCCACCAGCTTCAGAACGGCCTCGAAAACAAACACGATGGTGAACACGTAGTTGCAGTACTTCAGAGCTTCATCCAGGGACTGAAAAGAGAGGTACCAGTTAGTCTAGCCCAACTGCTCTTTCCTAGATCCACTGTGGAGGGAGCGGCAGACACGAGGGTGGCATAAGCACGGAGACGTAAGCAGCAATGTCATATTAGCTTGCAGAGCTCAGTTACAAAACACTGCRTTAAATCACACAGAGAAATGCAAATAAAGGATTAGACACTGATACAAACAAGAACCCCCATAAGCAGTAATAACTAGCTGTGCTAAAAATGACAAGAGTCATCAATCCTCCCGCTTCAGCGCACATGTTGTTCAGGATCTAGGACACAGATTCTACCTCTTCCCCTCCTAATAAAGTTTACTTTTTCTGCACTGCCTAGAGGTGGGTAGAATAAAATATCATTGCTTTATGCCAGCRTGACAATCCTGAGGACAATGGCTTTGCTTAACACGCTCAGAAACATAAATAATGTGGGAGACAGATTAAGTTGTGCCTTCTTGAAAAATGTTACATCTCCAGCACTGGGAAAAGAATATCCATATTTGGTGCAATATTCACTCTCTCTATAGAGCTGCTCTCGGAAGTCAGGAATCCACAGTGTTTATACTCGAAGATGATGAGTGTTTATAACAGATTTCATTGGAATTGGAGGCCAACAATAGCAAAAGAATCTTACATGGACCTTAAAATAGATAGCTGCAGAGTAAAACATCTTTTTTGATCAGGGTAGAGCCTTGGGAGAGGAGGGAGGGAAACCAAATTTAGTTAAATGTAGTATAGGTCTCTTGCAAATAAAAAAAAAAATGACAACAATGAATATCTAAACAGGCACAACTGGAAATAAAACACAACAGAATAGGGGAAAAAGGCTTTTTTTTTTGGCTTTGGTGACAGAAGACATCCCCGGCCACAGGAAAACTCTTCTCTTCAGAGTCTTGGGCTTTGTTGACCCCAGATATGCAGGATCAACACGCACAGACTTTTGGGAGAACTGGATTTAAAAGGTGTTTTAAACGCTAGTATTCCTCCGTTTGCATCACTCTGCTTTTGTTTCTAGTGCCTGAAAAAAATGGCAACCTTAAAAGAATGTGGCACAATTTATTATTTCATATAAAGCTCACCCTGCCTGAGCTTAAGCTCTCGTAGTACTTGCAAAGGTTTGCATTCATATTTACACTGCTGTGTTTTACATGAGCGTTAAACAAGGGTAAATAAGATCTAATCTGAATAAATAACACTTACATGCGAAGCAGAGGCTGTTAGGTAATGGAATTATTATGGGGGCAGAAAAGCAGAGAGCCTGTGAGCAAAAGGCAAACACACATCCCCTGTGGCTGGGGCCCTTGGCGCAGCTTCCAGGAGGCATTTGCAGGCTACCTGGCAGATCATGTAATATTTAAAGAGCAGACACTGAGCCTAGAGCTCTGTGAACCAGGATATAATGGAAGGTTTTTACAGGTGACAAATCCATGGGCTACATGATTTATAGCAAAGATTTCCTTGGGAAAACAGGATTTTGGGATACACTAAAAAAACTCACTGTACTTGAAGGAGATTTACTTCAAATTCATTGAGGAAAAGAAACTTTTTGCTCTGCGTGCATTAGCTTCATATTTATATCCATTAATGGAACATTCTAACACTCTGGACTGTTTTACAGCCTGAGGATAAATCATTGCTGGGATGAGGAGAGGAAATATTTGCTCTGGTCTTTCTTCCAGCAGCACTTTATTCCCCTCCCCGCGAGCCTGTGGCCCTGCTTGAACGTAGGAGCAGATCTCTGCCTTCAGAAGCTCTGGTCTCGACCTGTGTGATGGTGGAATCACATTCCTCGTTGTCACAAGAGGCTCCTTCCCGCATGGGAGCTGGTGCTGGCATCCCCTGGGAGCAGCGTGTGCTCCTCAAGCCTTCCACGTCCCGTGCCTCTTACCTTGGGCTGGTTGTAGTGCTCCATTGACATAGTGATGACGTTGACCCCGATGATGAAGGTGATGAAGAGGTCCAGGTAGTGGCTGGTGCAGAGGCTGTGGATGTACTTCCGCGCCGGGGAGTAGTCCGCGTAGTAGGGTCTGCGCTGGGCTTCTGCAGAGGAAGGCAGAGAGAGGCAAGGCAGTGACTGCAGGCCCTACAGCTCAGCGGTGGGCATGACCATGCCAGGACCTGCTGGTGGTGCTGTACACCCGCCTGGACACAGGGCAAAGTCCTCTGGAGAACAAGGAAACTGGAAAATGGCCAAGAACTTCTAGCTGGCAGCAAGGCCTTCCAAACCTGCAGCTGGGTCATCTGCCTGAGCTGAACCTCCTGGGCCTGCTGAGGTRACCTGGACGGCTTCCTTCTTGCAAGTGCTCTCTCTTCCTACTGCTTCATCTCAGGCTAGTGAATGACCTCTGCACTTAACAGGGCTCCATCACAAACTAGGAAGGGTGAGAAGCAGGATGGAAACGAGACCATAAGCCAAGAGAAAAGCTTCAACCGCAGCAAAGCTTGAACTCCAGCTTGGTGGAACGGCCCAGGTCAGGTCTTGCTGGTGGGGACTTTGACATRCATCTATTCTAATGCAGACATTAGGCATGTTGCACGTAAACTAGACCAAAACCTGAGCTCAGTGTTACTAAGAGCAGGCTTTTGGTGTGTTACAAAGGTCTAAGGAGAACATGGCAATGCCTGTGGCAAAGTGGGACACATGCGAGACAGCGACCAGTGCACGGGATGGGCCAGCAGCAACAGAGCGGGGTGCTCAGCATCTCCTCAAAGCCTGGCAGCAAAAGCTCCTTCAGAAATGTAAGAACAAGGGCTTGGCTGTGCCTGAAAAACCACTCAGGCCACAAACCCATCAATTTTCTATCTCYGCTTCTGGTCAGGATTCCTCCTTCGTTTCTTTTGAAATGGGGAGATTTCTGCACATGACAAAGGCCCTGGAGCTGCTCCAAAGTTAGTGTTTGGCCACTGCCCCACGACTGAAATGTATTTATTGCCTGTGGCTCTAAAATTAGACTGTGACCACAGGATGGCTGTGGTCACTCGCATGGGGTCTAGTTCTTTTCAAGCTTAAGAAATGCAAACATTCAAAGAGGGTACTTAAGGGCAAACCCAGCATTACTGGAGATTTTRCAAGTGGGAAAGACATCTCAGGTCACATCAAGTCAGAGCAGGATTGTTCTTAATTCTGTTTTTTTCTGTTTGCAAATGTTTTGGCAAAACTGGCTTTAAATGCATGAGGACCTATGAAAAAAAGAGTGGCTTAACCTTAAAAAAAAAAAAAAMCCAAATAAGTTCAAAATAGTCAGAGTCCTCCTGAAATACATCCTTCTCTTCTCTCATTGTGCTAATCTTTCAGACGGAGTGACTCTTGGAACGGCCTTTTTTTGGTAGAGCAGCTGAGGCCAGATTAGAGCTCAAAACTGTACAATAAGTTGGATAAAAGGAAACTGAATCTGCTGCTCTCTTTCAAGTACTTTTTTTTAGTAGTACTTAAAAGTGAAACGGAGACATTTAAAAAACATTTCTTTTTCAGTGGGTCATCTAGGCTTTTTTTTTTTTTCTTTTTTCTTTTTTTTCCCTGCTAATGGGAGTGGAAAAAAATGAGATGAAAGCAAATGTAAGTTATTTTGAGTGCATTTTGGTATTGCTTATGCTCCTAAATGCTATCAGTCATCTCGGACTGGAATAGTTGTTGTTGCTACTGAGCTTCGTTAATGCTCTGATGTGCCTAGAAAACAATAATAAAAATACTGCAGGGAGATATTCACTTTGGTCTGTACAATATGCTTCCCTGTGTCTTCAGGATCACAAAAGACTTTTTTTTTCCTCTCTTTTCTTTTTGGAAATGTCTTCTTAGGAATGCAAGAAATCACCTTTCAGGAGGTCTAAGAATGCCCCAAAGAGTCGAATATTAAGGGTCTACTTATTAATAAGCAGCTGATTAATGGATCTCAGAAGAAGGTTAGCAGTGACGGGCAGTGCTTGAACACAGGCAAGCAGGCTGTAGCTGATTGCAATCACCCTCTCAACGGTACAGGAACAGCCACTGAGGAACCTCTATAAACTCTTTGGCTAATTCTTAGCATCAAGCAAAATCYCAAGAAGACACTTGCCCCTAAAAAGCTGCCCGGGAGAAAGTTTTCTGGGCTGCCTGCCGGCAAGACAGTGTCTCCCTGCAGGGCTGGGCATCCAAAGGGACAGAGGGATCCCACCGGGACAAGAGGGGACCTGCTCCATGGCACGAGTGTCTCCGAGGGCTGTATCTGCAGCCTCTGCCAGTGCTGGCTGAGTCTGATCAACTGGTTGGACAATTTGGGCTCGGTTTAACCTGAGCTGGGACAAGGAGGCTCTAGAAAATGCCTTAAGTGGTTGGGATGCTCCTAAAGCTTAACACATGGAGAAGCAACTGCTCTCAGGGATACACACACAAGGGATACAAGGGCTGAAGCTGCCCGCATGCAAGGGCACTGCCATGCTCCGTGCTGCCACCCATGCAATGTCCATTAGAGGAGATGCTGGTGCGGGGAGGACAGGCCGTGCCGAGCTTGGGCTGGGGCTGCAGGGGTGGAAGCAGCAGCAGGTGMCCCCCTCCTGCATGGAGGCGGCCGCCGCTTAGAGCAGCTCCCTTCAGCAACAGCTCATTCCTGCTCCCTTCAACGGGAATTCTGATCCGCAGTAACTCTCTGCAGCTCTCCAGCCCCATCACGTTTGCACCTCTTAATACACCAGCTTATTCGGCCTGGTTTGGGTGAAGAGCTCACAGCAGGTCCCCAGGGCTGCGTGAGACACAGCAGTATGGGCAGATGGAGGGCAGCAGATGAAGCACAGGCTGTGTCAGGTTTCTCCAAGGAAACTGTCTCTGGGATGAGATTCCCGCCAACTGGCAGAGACATCCAAGAGCCAACTACCCCATGGAGCTACCGCCAAGGGCCAGAGGTGCTGGAGAGACGTGAGGATGAGGAGACACCATCAAACACAGAGAAGGGAAACGACGGCCCTTCCTGGCCCCTGCCTCTGGATATTGGCTAATGCTTGAATCTCACCTCCCTGAAGAACATTTAAACCTCCTCACTCGAGATTCTGCAGACACGACAGTAATGCAGCACTCTCCCCAAGCTAAAAGGCATTTCAGCTGGTATTACAGTTGCCAGCTAACGCTCCTCCATCACTCGTCTCAGCATGAAACACRAGAAAGCCCTAATGGGTTTGTACGAGGGCTTGGCACGGAGCAGCACCTGCCACCACCTGAAAAAAAACAAGCAAGATGGTTCGGTGATTCCCTAGTTGGGAATACTGAGCACTCAGCTACGCGGTGCCCRTACTGTTAGCTGCAGCTCCAAGATTTCGGCAGGATCTGGAAGGGTTAAAGCTGAGGAACGCTGCTCGTGATTGCTCATCCCTAGCTCCGGACTGCAGCTCTGATGGGTCCCAGCACAGAAGTGGCCTCTTCCTTAAACAGGCTGTGATGCCGAGAGGTCCATTCGGCAGCCCAGGGGCTGCAGGGCGGCGTTGGGCCCCGTGTCCTGAGCACGGAGGAGATCAAGCCGCTCCATGTGGCTTTAATCAGAAACTTTAATCTGGGGAGGCTGGTTTCGGTCTGTGTCTTCTGAGAAGCTCATTAAAAGGTTAGGAGCCGCAGGATTATTAAATTACAGCACACTTATTTACATAGGGGATATATCTGATGGAGGTAGTGACTGTGTCAAAGAAATATTTTAGCTTATCTTGAGTTTCTACCTTCACATGAAAAAGGACCTCCTCCAGCTCTGTCTTTAAAAACACATCCAACGCAYATGCATTTCCACGGGATATTTACCTCTTGTTCCTCATTTCATTTTGGCAAATACTCCTCCTTGCTCCGGTGCTGCAGCTCGGTTAGAGGTGTTCAGCACACGAGCCCGGGAATGCAGCCCGGCCTGAGGGAGGACAGGCCRGTGCTGCAGTGGCCTTGGTAGAGCTGGGATGTGCAGGCTCCTTAATCCGTGCATGGGGAGAGGCAGTCACTGCTGCCTGCTTTCCTCAGGCTCCTTGAGGATCCTTCCCGTCCATCCTTTGGGAAGGCCCAGGGCAGGGGTACAGGAGAAAGRAGGCTGAGCAAGACAGCCCTGCTCCATCTACACAGAGCACTTTGGTGTCTGTAGGTACCTACTGCTGTCTGGAGACGCCAGCACACAGGAACACACACAGGCCTTGGGAAACGGCTGCTGCACATGGAGGACATCGCAGACAGGTGACGGGACACAGAGACGAGATGCCAGCAGACAGGGCGCGTGCCCAGCCAGAGGGACATGGTGCAGGCAGCACAATTGCTAGCTGTGCTRCATCAGCCTTGCAAAGAGCCCTAGCTCCTTCCCTGAGGCTAGAAGTGGCAGCTGAAGGGAAATGGTGGCTCCTTGCTGGCTTCCCAGTGCACCCCTTGCTTCTCCRCACCTACACCCACCCCCCATGCATCCTCTGGCCCCACAGGACCAGCCTGGGACCTGGCGCCCTGGCACGCACAAAGCCGGACACCGTCCCCACGCCACGCAGCGAGGCTCACCCGCACACCCGCCACAGCGCCCACCTTTCTGAATCTGCCCTTTTTGGCCAAAGTCCCCATCTCCTAAATTAGCCCAAAGATGGAAACTCCTCCCATTTAAACAAAAAGATCCATTAAAGTGTTTAACAGCCACAGCGATGTGTATCTGCTACGTGATTTCACTCTGTCAACRATTTGGTTTTGGATGCCAAGCTCTCATGCTGATCAAGTGCAGGTAGGAGACTGCAGGACCAGACAATCACGAGCAACCTCCTGGAAGGCCTACACAGGACCAAACACYGAGACTCTCATTTCCTCTACTGGATTTGATCCCTTTCCAGAAAATTGTCCTCCTCTGTGTGCTCTCCATGAAATGTTGCACTCTGTGTCTGTGCAATGCCGGGGTCTGCAGTCTGAAATATCTCCTTGACTCCATCCTCCCAGACAGCTGGATAAAGATGGGCAAGAGAACAGTGTCCAGCACTTTGGCGGGGACTGGCTCTGTTTGGTGTCTGAGCAGTGAGCTACAAAAGAGCTTGTAATAAGATTTACCCACTAATGAGGAACAGCAACTGCCTGGGATTAAACTGTCCCTGCTTACCTGTGCCTCAATCTATTTTCTCTAAAGATGCTTTTGCTCATTGTCTGTGGTTAAGCTTTCTTTCTCTCTATCTTTTTATTTTTTATTTTTCTGTAACACCTGGGTTTATCTGAGTCTCTTCTTGGGTCATCACATTGGGGCAGAAATTCTGTGCAAGCAGCGGGTCTCTTGAGAGTCTGACACTAACTTGTCTTAAACTCACAAACTGAAATCAAAAAACAAGAAATAAAACCACATCTGAACTCTTCTAAATCTCTGAAGAGCCTTAACTGTTTCTTGAGGCTGCCTAACTTGATCTAGGTAGGGTTTTATTTTAACCCAGCTACTTTACTCATGGCTAATTAAAACTCAAAGGGCTTGGCCTTAAGTGTAGTGTTGGGTCTGTCTGCTATTAAGGCCCTGTAGAGACCACAGTGCAGATGTTTATTTCTGAGGTCTCCTGTGACTCTAATAAAGAGGAGCAGGAGAGGAGCCGGATGGATCCTGCTGCCTGCCCTCTCCCTCCAGTGGGGAGGGATGGAGGAAATCGGCTGGGGCTGAAGTTCCTGCTGCAAATGCTCTCATCGCTATCTCGTTACAGGCAGACAAAAGACTATTCCATCTATCTGCAGCTTTCCYTGCTGAAAATGGATACCTACAGCTTGATGTCTGGGGGGACAACTAGCTGCTTGTCATAATTAGATATTAAGCCCTTGTGGGTGATTACAGAACAGCTCAGCTATAGGCAAAGAGCCACAGGGGCAAGTGGCAAGTGGGGCCAAAGGCACTCAAGCCTCATCCCTGACTAGGTCCAGCTCTGATCATGGTGGCCAGGCTGTTTTCCTTCCCTTCTGAAGGACGCTGGCAAATATCTAACACAGTCTTTCTCCATTTGCACAAAACTGGGCAGATGTAATGGCTGCATTGCCAGCAGTATCTCTGGGATAAGCTGTAAGCAGCTTGTTCCTGGTGGAGCTGCCAAGAGACATGCAGGAGGTGAGAATTAATATGCAAGGATGCCTGGGATGGTTGGGTCAAGAAATGGGACCTACCAGATTCACTAGAATCAGATTTCAGCTAGAGGTTTTCTTTTGCACACTCATATATCCCTGCTTCTGGCCAGCATTTCCATCTCACCTTTTTGCAAGGACTAGTCAAATCCCAGCAAAATATTCAGCACTAAAGGGCTCCCCCGGCACAGAACGGGGCAAGCATCTCTTGTAATGGACATCTCCCAAAGAAGACTTTTCCGAGCAGGCCCACCTCGGGGCTCCATTCCTCTCCCCAGGGCTGTTGGTTTGCTCGTGCCCCCATGCAGGATTTCTGTGGCATGCGGGGCCATGCACCAGGATGCCAAAAAGCATCGCAACTACTTGGTCTAAGAAAAAAACTACTAAATCAAACCACCACCACCATCAGATGCAAGCGGCACGTTAAGCCACCGGGCTGCCCTTGGGACTGGCCTTTACGTGCACAGCAAGCATTGCAACCGTTTACTCAGTCACACCACAAGCTCCTGCTGAGTGCTTGGGAACCTCAGGGACACCTTTGCTTTGCAAAACAGGCTCATCTCTGATAGAGGACTCTGCTTGGAGGATTATCTGCTCCCCAAGCAAGTAAACAGGTAATGCTTAATGCTGGGCTTGTAGAGGACAATTCCAGGGGGCTTGGCAACCCAAGACTTAAGGTACCGCTCAAGAGGTATTGAAGCAAACGAGCCTCTTGAATCCCATGGAAACAAAACCAAAGGAAAACGAAAGTCTTGCTTTGGGAGCAGGCAGGGCTCAGAAAGATTTTGGTTTGTAACGCAGTCTACCGACCAGACAGGTATATCTCCTTACTCCTGCGCTTTTTCTCCAAGCGTCTCAGCCGCTTCTCCTCCCGCCGCCGGGCCTCCTCCGCCTCCTGGTGCTGCCGGCACTTGTGGAAGTTCTCCACGACCACCCCCACAAACATGTTGAGCACGAAGAAACTGACGATGAGCAGGAAGGAGATGAAGTAGAGAAGCATCCAAGGGTTATGGTTCTGGATGGGCTGGTGAAGAGAAAGGAAGAAAAGGAAAGAGAAGATGCATGGACACAAGGTAGACAGGCTGGAATAACTGGTGCAACTCAGTACGGAGGGTTATGGGGAGAAAGAGAGAGCTGGGAAGAGTTAGGTGATTCTTCCCGTGGCATTTTCCTCTCTTTCCCTTTTTTTTTAGCTTAGTATTTTACTTATGTTGTGGAATGTCCTCTTCTCCCAGTAATTTGGCTTACGGGGTTTTACTATTTTGGGGCTTACTTCATATGGCTTAAAATAAATCCCTTACAAGATCTCAGTGACTGCGCATCATCCCACATGGGAGTTATTTTAGATGGAGATAGGATTCAGTTTGTTTTTCTGTGGTTTGTGCCCATGGCAATGTTTCTCAACTGTTTTGAGTTCTTCAGAAAATTCTGTGCAAAGTGTTGCTTCTGTTACAATAGGGTACTACTCATATAAGGCTCCTGACTTTCTTTTGTTAAGGCCTCACACTGCACAAAATGAGCAATTCCTCTTCACGACATCCCTGGTGGTTCTCCATCTCACACGAGTTTGCTCATATTCATTGTAGTTCCACAAAGCCACAGTGCAATGGCACATGCTGCAACGGCTCTGGTCTGAGCATGGGCAGCCCCAGGTCATCGTCCTCAGTCTCCCTGTTCAGCTCCTGTCCGACTGGAGGGATCAGATCCTCCTCCCACTAGCTACTTAACAGGTATGTTTTAAAGGTAGAAGAAACAGAGCATGGGACAGAACTTATTTTGTCCTCTTCTATTCCAACCTTTTCCCGTAGCTATCGCAGCACTTCAACAGTGTAGGGACAAAACAGGGTTTATTTTTCAAGTTTTTCTATAACTGTATCAAATTTGTCCCGATGAACTTGCCTAAGAAAGTCCCATAATTTTTTTCTGKTGAAGTCTGCTGCCTGATATCTCATCTCAAGTACTATGACTCTAAAAACACCATCAATACTTGACTGTGCACTACATGGGCCACTGTAAGAGATATTCATTGGAGGGCAGATGCCCTTGCCAGCCTGGTGCACAGTCAGGACCTCTAGGAGGTCCTCCCTGGGGTTTCAAACACCAGAGCCACCCAGCATGGGGTTCCAGGAGTATCACATTTGGACTCTGCAGTATATCTACCTGTTGGTCAATGCCCACAGCATCCAGACCATCGTACATGATGTTCACCCAGCCGTCTTTGGAGGAGAGGACAAACAAGGACATGAGAGCCTGCAGGAAAAAAACAAGCACGCAGWTCACGCATTTTAATCATCAGAAAATAAAATAATAATAGATGATACTTGATAAAACCAGTCCACAGCTCCTAACACATCATCTGGCCTGRACTGGTGAAATGCAACCTGGTGTGGCTTCTTTTCATGTGTTTGCATATCTGACTTAAAAGTGAGGGTACTATGGCCAATTACACTTCTTTCCCTCCACATACAGGCTTAATTTTGCTCAGTTTTTCTCCTTTTCAAGCATAATAGCTAGGAGTCAGGAGATTAAAAAATGACAATTGAGGCTCATGCACAAGAAACTCCATGCAAAAGCAGTGGCTTTAGACAACATTCCCTCCTAATCAAGGACTTGTACATCCCAGGACGTCTGGTTGGAAGAGATCAAAAAAGGTGACCTGGTCTGCTGCAGCTCTGAGTCAGGGACTCTTCTGACAGATAAATGTCTATGTTGCTCTTGGAAACGTCTTAAGGTGAAGGTTCCCCAGCCTCCCCAAGGAATACATTTAAAGTGCTCATCCATTAAAACCTATTAGAGAAGCCCCCTGAAACGAGGACTTTACCTGTCCCAAATTGTCAAAATTGTACTTCCTCCGAACCCATTTGTAGCGCGCATTAGTGCAGTCAGTCTTCGTAGTGATGTTTTTCACGTCAGGACCATCACAGTAGTAGAATTTGCCTTTAAAAAGCTGCATTTGAGAAGAAAAGACAAAAAATAACTTTTGAAAAGCTTGTCTCTGATTTATCGTTCTTTTCCCCAGTAGAGCTGTTTGCTAAGTTCAAATTCCTTTTCTTGTCTCTCAGCTCAGACRCTCGTCTTAACTCTCAAGGCAGGAAAACCACTTCTGGTGAAAACTCACCAGACCTTCAGAGACCTAAAGACCTTCAGTGGAGCAAATGCCACCTCCTCCCAGAGCACCTCATTCAAGGCCTAGCTCTTTCTTCTTAACATCTATCTGAAATCTTCCTTTGATGAGATTTAAGCTCATTATTTTCACTTTAACCCCAGATGCTGGAAAAAGTAGATTCTCTGTTGAAGTAGTCACTTRTAGACGGTAGAAGCTTTGGAAATACCGTACCTGCACCCCTAAAATCCCAAAGATAATGAAGAAAGCACAGCAGATGAGAACGATATTCCCAATAGGCCTCAAGGAGGAGATCAAGGTTTCCACCACCAGCTTCAGACCTGGGGCTCTGCTGATGACTCTAGAAAACATGGTAGAACAACAAAGGTTTTAGTTTTTATGCATGCCCTGTTACTACATGGTTGTTTTTCCCTCCTGGTATGGGCTGCAGCAAAGCTAAAATCACCACCCTTCTCTATTTGCAGGCATTATTCAGAGATGGTCAGATATGACTTATTTGGACAAACAAAACATTTACAGTTATATTAAATGCAATTAAAAAGTGTAAAAGGTGTAAAGGAAGGAATACTCTTCACAGACAGGCTACAGTACATTGCAGGGGGATTTGCACCTTGCTCCAGAAAGCTGGTCCCCTCCAAGCTCTCTGTGATSCTAGTGGAGGATCAGGCAGGAGCCTGATTTCCAACACCACCTCTGYGAAGAGCTTTACGTTGGCACTAGAGAATGTGTCTCGTCCTCATTTTACAGAAGAAGAAACACTGACAAAACCGAGGTCCTTCAGAAGGGCTCTGTGGAAATCAGGAGACTCCAATGCTCATCTGGCTGCACACTCTACTTCCCCTGTCCCCTCCTTAAAAATCCAAGGCTCTAAAGCATGCGCTCACCGTGCCATCAGGAGGACTCCCTCCCTGCACTCTCAAACGCAGCTCAAGTGCTCACCTGCCTTACTAGCCTGGGCCCCATTTCAAAACGAGTCATTTCAGTTTGTTTCCTAATTAGTTCCTGAGCCGACTCTTACCCAACAGAGACTTGTGACCAACAGCTCCACTGCCAAAGGGTCATCCCATTAGAGAGGCCCGTGAGGCAACCGAGAGGCCGGAAAATCTCTGAGCGTGGCCTAAGGCAGGTTTGGGGTGTTAYGGAAAGCAAGTGTTTTCTTTTTCTCTTTGAGTGCCTGGCAAATGGCCCTCCCATGGGACTCTGAAAAGCGTGTTTGCACACACGAGCCTGAGCGAGCTTTTCCAGGGAGGCGGGTGTTTKGACTGGAGAACATCTAGGCATTTCAGGAGGGGCCTGTAGGGAGGAGAGGGTGGCAGTCTGTGTAGGTAACCTGAGCTCGCACGGCTAACGATGCTTTTGTGCCTGCCACTGGGAAAAGAGCAGAGGCCCCGGCTGCCCAGCACTGGGTAACACCAGACAGCCCATCTTTCCTCTGCAAAGGAAAGATGTCCTCAATTTTGTTCCTAATCACATTTGTCAGATAGGAACCCACCAGGTCAGGCGACGGCAAGCTGAGCGCGTTCCTGATGAGCCTGCGCTGCAAGGGGACCGCGATGGCACGAGCACAACACGGTGCAGGAGCAAGAGAGAAGCACACACCCTCACAAAAGGTCCTTGCCACCAAGGAGGTGCAGAGCAACAAATAGCTGTTGCTCTGATGGTCACGGGTCTAACCAAGATTGCCTCTTCTTGTAAGCAAGCAGCAGGCGGCTTTTCATCAAAAAGCCCACAGGTCTCTGAAGGTACCTATCTTCTTTCTAATGAAATTTCATGAARAAAAGGCTTATGTTTCTTGCTGAGYGGGATGGAAGTGGAGCAGGAGCTGTGAGCTGGTAAGAACCCCCCAAGCATYAACACTTCTCCCTTTTCCTTTATTACTGCAACACTGTAAACAAAATACAAATAGCCTTTATTCTCTTTTTTTTTTTTTATTTAAATACTGAAAGCATCTCCCTTCTTCCTAACTGAGAGCTAAATTGTTTTGCAATGATGTTAGATACGCAGGCACAAGAGAGCAGGTACAGATGCCAGAGCTTATCAAATTATTGTCAGCACCTGTTCAATTGAAAATTCCCTCCTAGCCCATGCAAGCTGCTGTCTGTGTGGCTGTGCAGTTTAACAGGCAGCCAGACTAATTTGTAAAACAGTGATAAAAATGCAGAGCGGAGGAGGCATTTGCTGCACCARCTTCTTAACTCTGATAACGCTTCCTGCTCCAAACTCCCTCCACTCTTCTCCATGCTGGTGGAGATGAATTACATGAAAACTAATTTTGCTGGTTTCAAACACTTTCACCAGATAAGAGCTCCCCAAAGGTGTTTCTAGCTATACTGGGTTTCAGCTTTTTGTATCATAAATGAAGTTTTGATGGAACAYGTGAATGTTTTTCAAGCTCCTTGATCTATCAATGCGAAACAACCCCAGCCACCCTATTGCTGAAAGTACCGGAGAGGTCTCAAGGTCCGCAGAAGTCTCAACACTCGAAGAACACCCAGGATCTTTGCTCCGCCTGCCGATGCCATGGAGACAATAATGTCAATGATAGATACAAAGACCAGGACTCCATCTAGGACATTCCAGCTGCTCTGGAGATAGGTGTTCTCCCCAGAGAAGAAGCCAAGAGCTACCACCTGGAATCAGGAGAACAGGGATGTTTAAATCTAATCAGCATAACCAYAGATATGTCATGTCTTCAGTCTATGCCAGGTCTCACCAAGGATCATGAGATGGAGACGTAATTACCTTAACCATCATTTCAGCCACAAAGATTGCAGTGAAAATGTAATTGGAAACACTTAGGAATATCCTTTCCTGTAAAACACAGAGCAACAGAAAGTAGCCAGTTATTTAAAGAGATTAGAAAATAAACACCTTTCATCCCGTGGGATCTTTCCCTGACAAGACTGAGATGTGAGTGCAGAAACAAGCAATAAAATGACTCAGGTGCTCACCAKGCTCTGTGGGTCTATATCTGGTCGCTCCAGCGCTATCGTGATGCAGTTGAGAAATATGAAGACCAGCACTACATGATCAAACATTTTGTGGGCAATGACTTTCTGGCACATCACCCGGAACCTGCAGAAAGGAAGGACAGAAAAATGTCCTTCATATGATTGGGTCATCAAGGAATTCCCATCTAATGACCTGCCCTCAAAAGGCTTCCATTACATCAGCTGATTACAGTATCAGCCCAGGAGGTCAGGCAAACTCCCGAAGCCATTATTATTACTGCAGAAAAACAGACGTGATGGTTGCTGTTATTAATGGTGGCTATACCACTGTCCTTCCTACACAGGTATAGTATGACCCATGCAGTGGCTCTGTCCACATGTAACAGAAATGTTACCTAAATATCTGGAATCAATTTTCGAAAATTCTCCATTCTTCTGCCTCAAAGAGGATTTTTCCCCATGAGAAAACTAGCTAAAGGGTATTATTCAACTACCTCAAAAACTTGGCATTTCACTGGGATTTCTTACCGATTTTGTGGGGAAAACAGGTAGAGGGACCAATCTTCATGATTCTTGCACCACTCTGGTTTGTAGGGCTCTAAGACTTTACGAATCCGGTAGCAGTAACTCTAGGTAGAAAAGAAGAAACACCTTTTTTCCTCTTTTATTTTCCTGCCTCTTTAGCCACCACAGTTCTTCCATGAAAGGGGGTAGTACCTGGCATTTCAGACTGCCTGCAGGGAGTCCTGGCATTTTTGAGAGGTGTGGTGGGGATGGGAAAGGGGGAAAGGGTACCCCATTCTTCCAGAGGAACGTAAGAAAGGAGATGATCTACAGTGAGATACAGACTTGACAAAGYCAGACCTCTGGGCAGGTACCATTGTTAGACAAAAAGTTTCATTAAAACTTAAAAGATCTCAAACAATCAAAACCCCAAAACAAAGTAATGAATAGATGGAGAGAATTCTCTTCTCTGTGGGCTTTCAAGGTTTGAGATGCCAAACAGCTGACTTGTGAGCACAGACAGTAGCTAAACGCTGTGAACTGAACAGCTCGTTTTTGGAGGCATCCTAGGCCACAGGAACAATCTCAATCAGTCAAAAGACCAGGCACATGTGTGCACATCCCCTGTGGTTTCACTTTGCTGGAGACCACTGAAATGTAACAGTCCTCCCCACGAAGGCCCATGCCTCAAATCTTCAATTTGTCTGCACCAGCTCTTAGACAGCAACACATCTGAGCCTGAGCTGGATTTTTCATCGGCCTTCCTGGAGCGGAATTGCACCTTAACACATGAGCACCCAATCCCCCCTGAACTCACGTCCTCCATGTCGTCCTCGTAGTCCGGCGCGTCCTCCTTGTGGCTGTCGATGCGCAGGAAGAACTCGCTGGGCACGTGCACCATCTTGCCGTTGCAGTCCTGGTACTCGGCGGGCACAACGGCCACGGGGCTGATGCTGAGCGAGTGGCGCAGGGCGGGCAGCTGCAGCAGCTCGGGCAGGTCCAGGGCGCTGCGGTAGTCCAGGGACTCTGCCCGGCGGTGCAGCGAGGCCCTGCTCACCGTGCTGGACTTGGCGTCATCAGAATCGTCGTCTGTGCTGCCTTTCCCCTCCCCTGAGAGCAAGGACTCTCTTTCTCCCGACTGGTTCTTCTTTTTGAGGCTTGGGGCTCTGCCCAGGCTGTTCCAGCTCGAGCGTCGGCTGCCCCAGTTGCTGCTGGTCCCCCAGTTGGCACAAGGGGAGCTGCGGAGGCTAGACTGAGAGAGCAGAAAGGCATTTGAGGTTTCATTTGCAGGAGGATGCCAACAGGAACCGTGTTTTGGCTGGACTGGATGACCTTTCCTCAAGTGCAAGTCACCTTCCCCTTCTAGCTCTGCTTTTRTTGTGTCAATGCTTCAAGAAAGGAGCCAAGCATACAGCTGAGGGCACACTGAAAATACTCCTAAAACTGCCCCTGCAGCACACCTACCAATTCTCTATGCTGTGTGATTCCCTGCAGTACAGGCAACATTCAAACCTCAACCTAGGGGCATTGCTGGCAACRTGGCATTTTCTTCCCTCATGCCAAGTGGTTTCAGCACGTATCTCCTCCGGCACCTGAAGCTGTTCCAGCACTTAAAGCACAAGTGCTTGCTGGAAATGGTGCCCTCATTCACACTACATTCTCTTTTGCGACCCTGTGCCACGTGCTCTAGGTGTCCCTGTCTGGGCAGGGGGGTTGGATTAGATCAGCTCTAGAGGTCCCTTCCAACGTCAACCATTCTGCCATTCTGTAATTGCTGCATATGGAGGTGTAGTGAGTGTCGCTCCCACAGAGAATTTTTGCCAGTGATCAATGTGCCCCTGCACTTTGCTGGCAGGTAGTTGCCAGGGTGAGAGCACTTAAGGCAAGAGCAGAAGAGCTAAAAGGAAAACTCCTTTTCCTGCCACTGCTTCCTCCTGGCGCAGGAGCAAGGCAAAATACCTTCCTCTTTCCCATGACTGTTGGCCAGCTCTCCTCCAACTGCTTCATCTCCCTTTGGATAGTGGCACTTACACGCTCTCAGAGAGAGGATTTAAACGACCAGCAACTTTTTCCAGCAACTCACAATCCCATGAAACCTCAAGGCAAACAACAGAGTCATCTCTATTTTCTTTTCAAAAGCATTACCTTGACTAAGCAGCTTACCAAAGGGGATAGTGGCTCTGTCTCTGCATGAAGTGCCTTCACGGTCTGCTGCCTTGATTTGAACACGATATTGCAGTTACAGAGCAGAGGAACAGCTCAGATAAGCAGCGGCAGCAATCCACTTTGTCTATTAACTCTGCTCCCTCTGTTTTCACAGAGCTGCCCTCCTGCTCCCCTGTTACAGGCAAAATGAAATCATTTGCCAAGGCAGGCGGCTCCAGGCAGCTCTCCCCTCCATGAGCACTTGGTCACAATCCATTAAGTCACACCTCACTTCTCTGCTTCCCCTCCAGAAGGGCTGCTGCACCACAGCTGGAGCTCAGCTGCGGGGCTGGTGGGGACAAACGCTCCATTCCCTTGGTGCCCAAGTGTGCTCCAGCTGCAATCCTAAAGCACTGTGGAGGGAACCAGGCCTCAACCTGCTCCAAAGCTTCTCCAAGACATCCCAGCACGACCAGTGTGGTTGGCAGAACTCTTCTCAAAGGAGTTTGCTGGGGCAGGCACTCAAATGTGTCTTGTCTCAAGATGCTTTTCTTCACTAGAGTGGGTTAGCATGGGCTCCCRATGTGATGCCAGGCAGGAAAGCCCTGAAGCTCAGGACATCTGTGTTTCCCTCCACCACATACTGTCCTGTCAGGTTGTCGGTGTCTTGCCTCAGCATACCTCTCCATTTCTCCCTTCTGAATCTGTTCTCCTCCTCCCATTCCTCATACTAGTGACCTCCACCACACTCCTTTCCATCTTCTACTGATGTGCACACAGCAAGAACATATCAGCTGGCACTGCTGAGCCGTGGCAGCACCAGAAGCACCAGGAAACAGAGACATRTAACAGGAAAGACCAGACAATCCTCTAACAAGAGCTGACTAGAACACCCAGAATCACCTGTACTGTTTGCAAGCACTTGTAGGASTGCTGCTAGCAGGGGGAACCTACCAAGGACTTCTGGTCGTAGCTCACGGGGTCTAGTGAAGCATTGCTCCCTCTCCTCGAGTCCACAAAAGCGTGCACCGAATCCATGTGTGGGGAGCACTTCGGCGTGGGCATAGGGGTGGCAGCGGTGCGCATGATTATAGGAGGTGGCATGCTGCCCCTGCCCTCCAAGTGCCCGTTTGGCGTGACGGCGAGCGAGTACATCTTCATCTCTGCAAAGAGAGGTGACACTGGGTTATTCGGGAATCACTGGTCAAAATGGACATGGTTGCTTGGGTTTTCTAGAGGCTTTGCTGAATGGAGCTCGAATTTTGTGGGCAATGCTAAGATCACCTCTCTGCTTTGATAGGAGACATAAGGCAAATGTCAAGGCCTTTTAAGGGGTCTTCAGCAYTGTTTCCTTTGCTTGGGGTTTCTTGGGAAATGGAGAGTGGCATCACAAACTTTTGGCATTGGAAGAGAGCAGCAAAAGGACACTGAGGACTGCCTCAATCCAATCTGCTAAATTAGTCTCTTCTCCTTGTCACAGACTTTTCCACAGAGATTTTTATACAGTTCTGATTTGCCTCAAATTCCCTCATCAGGAAGGAACTAAGCAAACATTAGTCATTGTCTTGAGTCATCTGTTTGGGCGACAGGAAATGGAAATGGCTTCTAAATATCCACACACCTGGAAGACTAAACCTCCTGCAACGGGGAAATCTAATGACGGATCTCTGGTAATTGCAGAAAGCATCTGTTTTAGCTGTGCAGCAAGTARAAAGCCCTCTGTAGAGAGATATTACAGCAGCACAATATTCAACTCGTACAGAAAGCTGCTTTGTCCTCTCTACAGACTACAGAGGTTACAGACCATACCTCCTCCAGCACTACTGAGTGCCCCAATACCCAGAACAAACACAAAAGTTAAGCGGAACAAACTCCTGTTTTACTGGGCTTAGTGGATTCTGGTTTAACGACTGCAGAAGTAGGGTTAGAGAGGGGGAGAGAAGGAYGTGCCTGTACTTAAACAGGCGGCATACGAAATGATTTCATCTCACCATGGTTGGTTACTGCAATGAGAAATTCAAGCAAGTGAATTATCCCTGCTATTTCTCCTCCACCGGCTGCTTTTGTAACACAGTTTACTTCTCTGTATCATCTGTTTACTTGCTGGCTGATACGCACCACAGAAGTCCATGGGAACATTGCCACTCCCTCTGAGGGGTGGAAGATCCAATTAAAAATTTGTTAATCTGCAATGTACAAGTTTCTCTTGCCAGTGTGCCTGTTTACAGACCAGTAGCTTTGTAATAGAATCGTTAATGTCCTTATGCTGTTCAGTCACTGGTTGGCACCCAGGAGGCTTATGGAGATGATGGACTTTGACTGACAAAGAGTTCAGCCCCAATTCCTAATTCTGTATTACCGAGGTGATGATGCTTCCTCCACCTATAAATCTCTAGTTACTTGAAGCTGCCCAGCAAACAGTTGCTGCAAAGGAGCTGTAAGCTGTGGCTTCCTTGCCAACTGTTTGCAAGGCAGGTGCCTTTGTTCACCTTGTGTTTGGAACCCCTGTGGATCTGCAGGCCAGACAGCTCCATCACCTCGTGCTGATGCAGCTTTGTCTCCTTAGCTTCTCTGGCAAATTACTTACACTCATTCCTCAGCTGATTTCCACCTGCTTGCCACATTCAATATCATTTCACTCACTGAAATGAATCCTGCCCTAGAAGCATTTCAAGGAATTCTAACAAAAGCCCAAGCTGAGAATAAAAATACAGAGAACTGGAGCCAGTTCCTGTTTACCAGCATGCTATTCACTGTGCTTAAATAGCTGCTCCCTTCTCATCCTATCTCCAAACTCTGTAGAGTGAAGACTGCCTCCAACGATCCCATGTTTATACTGCACTAGCACAATGTGGCCTCGTTTCAAATCAGTGGCAATGACCTCCTGCAACACAAATAAACAACAACATTTCTACCAAATAAGCCTACTCAGATGCATTTGTGTGGGAAACTAAAGAAGAGATGAGAACRTGATTGATTTGAAAAGCTGCTCAGAAGTAGCTTATAAATATTGCTGCCAGTGAACCGTTCTGTGATGGGGAAGAAAACATGAGACCTAACTAAATATCCTTGCACAGTTTAAAACTGGAAAAGTATCTGCTTGAAGGAACTATCAACTCTCAAGGCTTTTTTAAAGCCTTCTGAACACTTCTGCATAGCTTCCCTACTAACCTAGCTATCAGATTAATTTCCAAATAACTTGGCTAACATGAAAATATCTTCCCCTTTCTTCCATAAATTTTGTGGAAAAGATGAGTGCAGAAGCAGGGCTGTAGCACAGCTCTAATTCATAGGAGAAAAACAGAAGCAAAATCCTACCTGTTGCTCGGAGATCTTTCAACTTCTCAAAATCATCATCAAAGTTGGCAGATGTCTTGTCCTCATCTGTGTCTGACTTATTGGCATCACCCTGTAGAAAGGTGAGGGATAATTAAAAGGTTTTATTGCAATCAAAGTTTAGCACAGAGGCCATTTGGATTAGCCAGAAGCTTAAGAGATCCTTCAGCTCCTCTTGGCCAGAGCACAGCTTCAAGCAGCAGCAGGGCAGAATGCCAAATTCCCTTGACACTGCCCTAGGGAATGACCCCGGGCACRTCCCTCTTCCCTGTTTTGATTTGTTTTCTTCCTTGGACAGAAAGGATGATGCTGTGATTGTGAACACTGCTCCTGCAATGTCATTGCGTTTCCTACGCTGTGTCCAGCCTCACTGAACAGCGCGTCCCAGGGGAGAACGCGAAAGCGCRGCTGTAATCAGAGAAGTGACTAAGAAAAATTGGCATTGCCGGGTYCCATATTTGTTCTCTCCACGCTCCCAGCTGAAAGCACTTAGGTTTTAATGTCAAAGGACATTGCAGGGTTTTTCTCTTTTACTTGACAGTCCCGTAAATTTGCCATAGATCTGAAAACCCAGCCTTGATCTGCTTCCCTCATGCTGGCTGCTAACTGAGACTGCACTGGGAAACCTATTGGCAGCRTGGAAGCTGAGGCAGAAGAGCAGCAGGTCCAGCTTGCCTGGCCATGCACCATCGTTCTCAGACAGAGAAGAGCCAAGAGCCCCTGGACACCTGTTTAAGTGCTTCCTGTGGCTTTTTTCCCCCTTTCATACATATCTGCCTCTGCTACCAAGATATACAGCTAAATAATAGATGAGCGCTGAGCAGAAGAGCTTGTGTGGGGTTCTCCTCTGCCGTGGAGTCAGTGGAAGGGAAGGAATCCAATAGACTCTCAGAAGGACTCTAGCTTGATCCATCAAGACTGCAGAAAAGCTGYGCAAACTGGTACCAAACGGTTGGATTAAAGCAGCTGATCCTGGCAAAGGAGCACACTGCTTTAACGGGTGCCTGAACAAATCACCACGGCTCCTAGAGACATGATGCTAAAGCAGCAGYGAGCTTAATTTCACCTGTGATGTACTGCTAACTGGTGCAGCCAAAGAGACAGGATGACTGAAAGGCTTAAGTTTCCCTATTCATCTTCTCTGCTTTAGAGCAGGAGTAACAGCACAGAGTAGCTGACTGAGTTGCATGGTTTTGGAAGGTTTGTCTGCTTTTCCAGAGCAGCTCTRGAGCAGATGTCAAAACGACAATGGGAATAATAAAGTTGATTACAAATACATCACTATGGTCCTGTCCGAAGTCAGGCTGCTTGTTGTCCTAAGARTAAATGAGGAATAATCTGTACTAAACATGTTCTTTGTGGCCAGTTATAGCCATTCTCTTCTAGGTTATACTGCTGTCAAGTTTGCTTCAAGGACAAGTTGAAGCAGAGACGAAGCTGAGATCTTTCTGTGATTCACAGCACAATGTTCTCCTGTGTTCTTGCTGAAACACTGCTGAAGGTCCAGGGCTCTAGCACATACCCCTCAGCTGCCCAGCTGGGCCTGCACTCACTCCCCACCCRAGTGCAGGACAGACTTGAGCAAAGGGAGCAGAACTGCACATCAGCATCTTCCACAAGTGCTTGGAGAGTCACTCTGAATGAGGACAAGACTAAGGAGATCAAAACATGAACTTGACACCTTCCCAACGTCTGCTGGCAGAACTAGTGATGACAAAAGAAAAGAAGTCCCAGCTCTACCCATATTTCCTCTTCTGACTTGTCCAAGGAGACTTTAACAATCTTTGGTTTACCACTAGAGCTAAGCTATTCATTTGTAAGCACAAGACTTGATTCAAGTCCTTGCAGCTGAAATACAGCCCTGAAAAGGGTTTTCTGCAGCATGGCTGATACCTCACTATGAGACATCTGACAAGCCCGCAGGCTTAATGTCAAGATTTATAATAAATGGAAGTGGAGAGCAAAATGTGCCCTGCAAATGTCATGCCTGTGGCTGCTGGCCTTTTCTGAGGCAGCACTGAATGAATAATACAAGCTTTGAAAACTGCTCCGTATTTAAATCATGGTTTGTAACAGCTCTGAAAGGAACCATTACGCCTGGGTCTGCAATCAGGTACTCAGAGGATAGTGYGCCAGGCTCCTGTTTTCTGGCATCACATCAGCACATGATCCAACTCCCAGAGGGCAGCAAGGAAGGGGGTACAAAGGTACCTGCAGCCTGTCGGGCTGTGGAGCAAAGAAAACGTCTCTCTCAGAGCGAGTGATGACCAAGGATGCATGTGGGGTGTTGGGGCTGCATGTGTAGCAGCAGCAGGAGACTGCGCAAGGGCTCTGTGTTGAAAGGCAAGAGTATTCAAGCTAAAAAAGAAGCCTCCGTGCTTCCATAGGGTCGGGGGTGAACAAAAGTCCTCAGGATTCCCAAATGCCTTCTCCTTGGTTGGAGCATCAGCAGTGGTTTGTACCAGCATCAGCAGGAAGGGGAGCATTTCCAGGTATTCGGGTCACACACGTCGGTTATCACTCGTTTGGGTTTCCCTGACATGTCCTCTTTTCCCAGCCAGCTTTCCTGTTGGGTTGAGTTTGAGGATCTCAGACATATGTCTGATCACTGAAAAGTTCCCTCTTTGGCTTGCCACACGGCCAGCTGTATTGGCTGCTTCTCCACTCAATTCAGGAAAATCTATTACTTTACCACAGACATTTGTCTGCTACAACCTGTGCAGATCATTTTCTAGCAGGACTGAGGTCCAGCACAGATGCTTCAAATACACCTGGCAACTCTCCTAGGGGAAAACCCTTTAGACTGGAAGAAAGCAATTAATGCAGGCTGATGATGATGGCTTTGCTCTTTCAAAAACAGTGGCTAAAATGTCTGTTTTTGCAACAGGTTTCAGTAGCACAGGAACATGGTGAAGGGGCTGTAGATGCTGAGCAGAACCAGAGGATGCAGAGACTTGTGACACAAAAGGCTTCATGAGTTCAGAAATGAACAGTGCAACTCAAGGCACTGATACACAGTGTACAGGCTTGCTCTTGAAAAACGACCTCTAGCTATTCTTAGTGAGATGTGCTGGATCTTCAGAGCCTGGCCCATTCTGCACAAGCCATCAGGATGCTCACTAATACAGAGCTGTCTTCTGCAAGCACTGAGCTGGACTGTTTGGGTCCTTTCTTTGTGTGCAAATAGGATCCGCCACCCTCAGCATCCATGAAATAGCCCTGAGCAATGTAGAACAGGGCTGTTTTTTTCCAAACTAGGGCTTGGCTCCTGTTGTTTCAATTAATTTTCCTCTGCTAGTGCTAGGAGGAAGCTGGGAGGGATGTTTTAATAATGAATCCTTGAAGGACATAAATGCGACGGTGCTGGATTGAGAGAAGGGAATTGTTGGTCCATGAATATTTCAATTACATTCCATGGTCAGTGACAGTGTGCCTAAGTGTGATATAAACACAACAAATACAAACATGATGCCATTTCTGGAGAAAAAATGAAAAGTTAAAAAAAATGAGGAGTTTCATTCTCTTATTCCCCTTGGGAGCTAAGRCGGTGAAAACTGAAACTTTCTCATTTTCTTTCTGACTTTCTGTGTCGTTCAGCACTAAGTTAACTTTCTCTTCTTGCATGTTGCACAAATAAAAAAGTAATAATTAAAAACTCCCAAAGTGTGCTGCAAGCCTTTTCAATATCATTATTCTTAGCTTGAATTGGGACTGGATGATTTTATGTAATTCTCAACATCATTCCCATTTGTCCTAAGGTTTTGAAACAGTTCTCCTTTTCTGAAAACACATACATGCATACACATCCTTATGTTTACAGATGAAACAAGATCACTGTTCTCATTTAAAATCGTTCCCAGGTGGATTTGCTCTGATCTGAAAGGATGATGGAGAAGAGGACAGGGCGGAGGATAAGGTCCTTCACTCCCTCGGGATGTCGAAAATGAATCCAATGAATTTGCCAAGGGAATGGGAGCTCAGGGGGCTGCAAGGCACCGTTTGCACCAGGGCAGTGTGCTTCTTGTGATCCCACGGTACATGATCTCCTGCACAGCTGCTGAGCTTCCTGCTCAGTTCAGATCAGGACATCGGATATCACTGTTGCCTGAGAAATAGCATCATTTCTCTAATCCTCTCCCTGTGAGATGAGATGCGTGCACTTTAGCAAATACCCTGCTCATTGACCTGACACAGACATCATTTTCAGTGTAGGTAAGGATTAGCATTTATTTGTTCCACATCACCCCAAGTATCTCAATATTTAATGTTTGCAACCTTGAAACATTGCTTTTCTAGCAGCTGTGCAACTAGCCTCAGATTACATATAGGGGACAGTCACAAGAAATAGCCTCAATTCAGCCTGTCTACATCCTGCCTGGTCCTTSTGACTGCCTTTGGTCAGCCACATCAAAAACCTGAGGTTCACCATAAAGAAACCCAAAATATAGGACAAAGAAGGAACTTAGGCAAGTCAAATCTGTCCTAAATAATTTTCTCATGGTCACAACAAGCAGCTTAGTAACAGGTCAACCAAATGGTTATCTCCCTAGTCCATGCCTAGTCTAGTGAGTCTTAGTTGCAAGGAGGGAACCTTGCATGCTCTGCCCAGCCCAGCTCACCTGTACCCGCTTCAGGTTAAATTCCAGGCTGTCTGCATCATCTGAAGTTTGTACTGATACAGACTAATCCCTACTGATGCTTACACATGGTTCTTAGTTTTCTCCCTCCCTCTGTTCAGACCTCTTACCTCTGCTTGGAAGCCTTCTACCAGAATGGCAACGAGAAGGTTGAAGAGCACGTAATTGCCGAAGGTCATCAGGGCCACGAAGTAGAGMGCTGCCCAGGAGGACGTGGAGGCCATCCCATTGTAGAGGACCACATTCCAGTCCTCTTGAGTGAGGATCTGCAGAGAGTTGGAGAGAGATGCTCTGATTATTGCACTCCTCTCACAGACAGCAGCTGCACACAAATACTCACTGACTCAGCCGTTTCTGCCTCTCCTCTTGACCTTTTTCTGAGGGTAACCATTAGTGGGTCTCATTCGATGAGATAGCAAAATATTTTTTAGTTAGATCTCTGCATGTGAGATCTCTCCCAGCCAACTCTGCGCTGTCTGCAGGAGCACCTAGCACACTGCTGCCCAGCTGGATGACTTTCTGAGATACCAGCTGTGGTAACATGAAGGCTGCACTAGTTTGAGTCCCACAGTTGGCTGTGTGTGTTGTCTCTTTTGATAACATCAGGAGATAAAAGGCCTGGGGCCACAGGTGTTGTCTCCTTTTGGAGCTGTTTTTTCCTCTCGCCCTTTATAAGTTATCTGCAGCTGAGCAAAAGGGTAGGGAGCATGGTATCTGACATGGTAAATGACACCTGCTGGCTCAAGAAACTCAGGGAAGAAAAAATGKTAGCTAAGTGGTAAAAATATTGATAAGCTGGGCAAAAACAGTACCTCTTTGCAAGGCCTTGCCCAAGAGACAGGGATTCACTTTCTCTTAGCCATCCTGGAGCTCGGAAAAGCCCAAGGCACAAGAAAAACAGATGACACACTCATCCAGGTTTATGCATCCAGGTTTAAAATGAACACGGCCTCTAATTTCCCCTCCTCCCCTGTCCACAAGGTGATTTTGGGGCSGGGAGCACAGTCTGCTTCACTGAGACATGTCACTTACATGACACAGCATGTAGGGCCAAGCCCTTGTGTACCATGCCAGCTCTATTTGCCCATAGGACTGTTAAATGCAGACTTCTGTATTAATTTTATACAGGATAAGTAGAAAAATATGAACCTRTGAGACTCATGCTGATTTCTCCTTGCTGAAAATTAAGTTTGTCTTTACATGAAGAAAAACTTTGCAAGAGACTTAATCTTCTCAGTGAAGATCCTGGACTGGTTTGCATCTTGCATGCTACCACAGTGAGCACCTACTCTGCACTTACAAATCTAGATTAATGTTGCCTACATTGTGTTCCACTTGCTGGACCTTGGCTGTAAGGAGAGAACCATTAAATAGAAAAGACTAATCTTTATGCTGAGAATGTCCTGGAAATACAGTTATTAATTCATTGTGGAACATACCAGTAATTGCAAGGACATAACAGACCTTGTCTGCAAAGGAGAAACAATTTTCACACACAGAATTTCCCACTTTTTTTTTTTTTTGAAAAGCAAAATAACTCGTTTACCTGGTTTATATTAAAACYTCTGGGAGGACTCAGAGCTTACCTGGAAGACTGTCACAATGGCCCAAAGCAAGGAATCAAAATTCTTTCTGTCTGGAACTGTGTCTCCTGTATCAGTTTTTAGGCTGAACTTGCATCCAAAAAGATGCATGCCGAGAATGCTAGAGGGGGGGGAAAAAAAGGGAGATGGAAGAAAGACATTACTGTGTGAAACATGGTTGTAAGGACCACTACAGTACTTTTTCAGGGGAACATTCTTTTTGGAGCACTTCGTATGCCAGTGATATCTCCCAGAAAGATGGGCTCTTGCCATTTGGTTATTCTGTGCCATGCTTCTATAATTATCTACATCAAAGTCAAATCAAGAATCTCAATTGTCTAGAAAATGATAAATCACACTGTCAGCTGCCTGATCAACCTCGTTTCCAGGAACAGGATCTTGAGGAGCATCACAGGATCAAACAGACAAAAGCTTTGGCATCTGTATGACCTCCCTCTCAAATATGAAGCTGGAAGAATCCAGTTGCTGACAGCTCCCCGAGACAGAGCTCAATGAGCCTTCCAGGAAGGCCATGACAGTTGTTTGACTGTTGCCTGCTTGCATTCTTTGTTCAGCTGCAGAATTACAGTATTGCATGAAAAACTGAGACTGCAAAGAGGAAAACGGTCTGTTGAAAGTCTGCCTGTCAGTCTACTGTGAGCACTGCTGTCACGCAGGCAGCCAGCAAACGGGCTCCATTGTCATCCTAATCTCTGTACCACTCAAGCGAGCTGAACGATTAATCAAAGAAGACCTACAGCCTGGTACCTGAAGATAAAGATGAAGAGCATGAGCAACATGCAGAAAGTGGCCACGTTGTCCATAGTCTTCATGAGGACCACCAGCTGGCGACGGAGAGCAGGCATGAAGCGCACCAGCTTCAGCACCCTGAGCAGCCGAAAGGTTCGCAGCACAGAGAGGCCTCCATCCGACTGGCCGATGATCTCCCAGACACTGCAGGAACACAAGGACACTATGAGATGGTACAACAGCAGTGCTATACYGCTACTGGTTTCCTACAGGCTTCACAAACAGTACTAGCTTCTCCCATGCATGCTCTGCCATGCCCAGGTTGGTCTGGGATTCAGTGTTCCCTTCAAAGGGGACACACCTGAACCTCTTTTGCCCTACTGCTTGTCCTGCTCTGCTCCAAGCTGTGGGTCACTTCAGGGGTGGGAGGGCAGCTGCTGGGATACGGACACTCACAYTTTCCCAGGACCAGCCATCGTGAACTTCAGTGGAAAATTCACCACGGTGCCAGATGTGGGGCATAAATAGACCTTTTCTCCATCTGTCAGGTCCATTTACTTTGGATGGCCCTTCTAAAGATAGGAATCCTAAAGGCCAGCATAATTATAGCCCATCACACCCAGCAAACCCCGTGTTAACACATGCCAGGTCATTCTTAGTCCCCTGTCCCACTCCCCAAATGGTCCAGGCCCTCAACAGAAAAACCACAATGGAGAAGGAACCAGCGGGGACCTGATGACAACAATAATCCCATCGAAGATGTTGTAGGGGTTCTTGATGTAGCCAAAGAGGCCAAACGCAAGGAGCTTGAGGAGCATCTCCAGGGCGAACATGCTGGTGAAGACAATGTTACTGATCTCCAGGGCATTGGTCAACTCATCTGGCTACAAGACAAAAAAGCAAAATAGTCAAACAGATACACAGAGCAAACGGCCATGCAGTAGCATAATCCTCCCGCTGTGGGATTTGTGCTAACGATGCACAAAAGTTGCATTTTCCTGTATTTCTCCCAAAGAAGAGATAAAAGTCCAAGGGGAACAGCAGACTAGCAAAAGCTTTGCAGCCACTGTGCATTTAAATGGAAACATGGGATCCCATTTCTGGAGCGGCTGCAGAACAACGTCAGCCCGACACACAGATGTTAAAACAAAGGAGAGCTCTCGTGCACTTTAGCAAGACAGTATATATATACATATTTATACACGTATGTATAGCCTTAGGTGCTCCTTTCCTGGGAAAGGCAGGAGCTTCTGTCTGTCCAGCACCCTGGCCGGCTGGTTCACAGCCAGAACACGGTGCCCCAGTGACAAATACAAGGGGTGACCTTGGGTTTCTCCGCTTGCTGGAGCTACTCCTGCAAAGGGCACCAGGCTCTGCCATGAGCGACTCTAATGCTCAAGGCCCATTCCCTTGCAAAAGAAAACGAGTCCTTTCATTTTCTTGGTGTAATAATACTGTCTAGAAAAAGGTGTTATTTTCATATCTGACTCATCTCCCAACTGGTAATAGCTTCCTTTACTCTCCATCTGTCATTAGACACGGTGTTAATAGTTGGTGGCTGTTGCAGCAGCCGAGGCTCYGGAGCACAGCCCGCCCAGGGCACAAGCAGCTTTAACTCGAACCACTCGAACCTGGCAATTGGGGCAGAGGCGCAAGGAGCTAACCTGGAGCCTGGAAAGGCTGGAACATCCCCCCTATCCACAGGGACAGTCTGTGGGCCACTAACGAGCCATCATTTATAGGCTAAATTGCTTCATGCAACAGACTCCTCTGCTCAGCCATTTATCCGGGAGAGAGAGCAGCGAGAGCCCGAGTCCTTGCAATTATAATCCATACACACTAATTACTAATGGACATCAGGAGAAAGACTGTGCCGGCTGTGGCTCTCCAGGCTCTACCAGGGTGGTTGGACAGGTCCTGCACATTCTGCTTGCTGCAAATCAGCACTCATCCCCTGTTCCCTCCTCTGATGGCACCAAAATAGCACAAAGGGGTCCCCCAGATCTGTGTAACAGCCCCCAGCTCTGCTGCCCCCAGGCCGGGAGGGAAGGACGTGGTGCAGGGCCGAGCAGCGCGTGGCTGGCACGCTCAGGCTGTGCAAGAGCAGCCTGGCCAAGAAGCAGAATTGCTGAATTCCTGCGTGCCCGCCGCTGCAGGTGCCAGCCCAGCCTGGGGCTGGACGGCCCTGCCACGAGCAGGAGGCTGCAGCATGAGCCGGGCAGCAACGTGTGTGCCAGGGACACGGGCAACGTGCCCCTCATGTCTGCAGTGCCCTGCGACGCACAGCGGCCTCCACGAGCTCCGGCTGCTGCTGCACATACCACCAAAAAGGCACAGAGTTGTCACGAAAAGCAGGATAGCAGGTGATCTTCTTAAAATCCCTAAAGCTGGAACCATGGGAATTTGACATGACAAACTTGGGAATCATTACCACAAAAGCCAGCATCCAGGCCRGAAAGCCTGTGCTTGACAAGCTACAAACATCTTCAGGCAAGCGAGGAGGATGTGCAAGTTGCTGTTCACTAAAATCCCCTGCTTTCTAAGCCAGCACGGTGATTTTTGTGGTCTGTTGAACACTTGGGCTCGCAACCAGTTAACTGCCAATACGGACGCCTGAACTGATGTGCCAATTCCCTTGGATACTTTGGAGTCCTTATTGCTTTCTCTCCAGGATCAGGAGCTCTGCTTCGTCAGAGAAAGCAGGAAAAGCTGCAGTGACCTCTGCGGAGAGAGAGACCGAGGAAGAGGGAGGGCAGAGGACAAGTTGGCACTGACRAGGTTCACCAAGGCTTCCAACGAGTGGCAGATCCAGCAGCCAGAGCTGCAAGGCTGCACCTTGGACGAGACCATCGTCATTTCCTGCTCATAGTGGGTGCGAGACAGAGCTAATTTGGTGACGAGGGCTGGGTAACGAGGGGCGCTCGGACTCCAATGCTGCAGCGCCGCAGACAGACCCGGGCCGGCCAGGCTGCTCGTGGGAGCGCTCGGGTTATCGGAGCCAAACAGCAGACGAGGCTGGAATCCAGCGATGCCACCTTCAAATGCCATCACCTTCTTTCAGCACCAGCGGGAGCCCAGAAAACAGCCTGCCACAGATTCGCATGGCTTAGGAAATGGTCCGTTGCTCAGAGCACGATTCACTCCCCGCTTCCCGCACTCCGGGCTGAGCAAAGATCCAAGAGCAAGGTCCAGGATGAGATGCGTGAACGCCAAGATGGAGTCAACCATCCCTCTGGAAGCAGCCACTAGGAGACACTGTTGTCATGTTCAAATTCAAGCCAACTCCGAGTAGGAATTTTTCCAGGAGCCCTTATCTCTGGGAAAAACAAAACATTGATTTGCTGAAAACAAAATTTTTCATGGCAAGGATTATTTTCATCAGACTTGTTGGCTGGAAGAAAATGAAGTTGCAACAAAGCTTTAAAATTGCTGTGATGTCTTGTTTTGACCTTCTCAGAAAAGGAAACTTCAGGTTTTTCACTTGAGATGAGGTTGTGTTGAGAAATGCAACTTCCTTTGCAGCAAAGAAAAGTTAACAGACCAGATGCTGGTATCAGAACAACGCAGAGTACTTCCAAAGTGGTAATTTTTCCCTCCTGACAAATGAGGGAGGGTTTTTTTTTTGTTTGTTTGCTTTTGTAAACCTTAGGAACCAAGACAAGGAAACTGTTTCTCCCCCTTAGGGCTTGAAACTGCACACGAGTGACAAGCTCCTCTTGCAAAGCCCCGTGAGAACGGGTCTGCTTTGGGTATCTCCATCTGCTGCCGCTGTGATGTCTGGTCTCGACTCTGGTTCAGACTTATGGGGCAGAAGACGCCAAATCTTGACCGCCGTCAAGCAGGTGGCATTGCAGGAGACCATGAAACAGGCAGGAAAGCTTGCCGAGAGGCAGTGCTGGGATGGTGGGCAGCGGGCAACACTGTCATTGGGCGAAGAGTCCACAGAGTCACCTGCAGAAGACGGAATGGGAACCACCATCCCAGGGGACAGGCAGCAAAAATGACCCCAGAAAGAAGGTAACTGCTCCACCACCCCAGGCAGCACGTGCAGAAGGATTCACACCTGGATACAAACTTGGAAGATGGGAGATTCCAGCAAATGCTCCTACTTTGGTGCAGGAGAGACGGCAATTTCTCATCAGTCAAGAAAAGGGCAGAAACTGCATGGGATCAGCTTCAGGATTTCAGCATCCTTGGCTATGAGCTCAGAGGACATTTAGCCTTGACTGCAGGGAAAACATGTCTCGGGAAAGCACAAGCACCTCTGCTCACTTTGAAGGCCATATTTCTGCTGCGGAATATTTCAGTGATTCAAAACCATGTTTTTATTAGGAGGGAAAAAAAMCCCTCAAATGTTCAGCAGTTCATTCTGAGTTCAGATAAACAGACAAAAAATCCTTTTCTAAATAGTTTGGGTCTGAAAACCTTGGATGACGAGTCCCTTTCTGAGAATCTGATACTTCTGGTTTCAGCAAGACAGAGCTAGTGCTGCCCCAGAGCCTTCCTGGAATCAAAACGCACAGAGAGATTCAATAAAAAAGAAACCCATAATGGCCACGTTATTGGCAGCCTTTACAAGCAGAGGATGGAGAATGGGAGTGGGACCTTGCAGCCCTTTGTGTGGCTGAATCACTGGATTTCTTCAAGCAAGCCACCTCATCTCTTTGTGTCTCTGCTCTTTTTTGTCTCCCACCTGGTCCCTCCCAGCTGCCACCTCCACCACGGCCTTTTCCATAGCTTTATGCTCAGTCCCCAGCAGGATGGCACCCGGCCTTGGCTGGGGCACCTTCGTGCTCCGACTTGCAGCATAAATCACCAAGTCCCCCTCGCAGAGGCAAAGGGGCCGTCAGACACCCGGTGCCTCTCACTGAATGAGGGGCAAGGACCTGGAAGGGCAGGAATTGCCTGGATTAAAGGATGCGCTTGGCTTTGAAACAAGCCGAGCCCAAAGCAGCCATTCGACTCCTCCTGAGCAGGGGGAGCTGAGGCTGGCAGAGATGCAGAGGAGTGGTAAACAAATTCAGAACATTTAGTCTCATAAACATCCTTTGCACTTGTGTTATTTTTTATTTTCTCCTCCTAGTCCTAGGCCTAAAGCTGTCAATGGGATTTTGAGCACTTGTTTATGATGACTTTTCTGGTTTATATTTTAAGATCAGTCTGCAGGGACTCTGAGCAGGAAGGAGACCTAAAGAACTGTTACTGGGTGTTTTGCTCTGGGACAATCCTTATTTAATCCAAGGTTACCCTTGGAGCAACAAACCCAAACCGCATCAACTGGCGCAAGGCTGGCACGTCCCCTCGGCGTCACCCACCTTTCTTTTTAGGCATTGCCACAGGAAGCAAAGGCATCTGCAAGCTCTGCAAGGTCTAGCAGAGGGGCTGTCCAGCAGCACCTGACACTTCCCAGCAAAGACACAGGAACAACTCAGTGCAGGGAAACACCAGGAGAACAGGTTGAGCTGCACAGTCTTCCATACAGGACATCCACGCACAGTCTCCTCCCAAACATGAGCCCCTTTCCCCAGGAGCTGCAGGAACAGCTCCAGCTCTGTGTCTGATCTATGGTAAAAGGGCAGRAAGAGCCTCCTCTACCCTATTTAAAAGAAACCTAATTTGGGGTAGGATCTAATTAAGATGCAATTCACCTGATGAGCCATGGTCAGAGTGAGGATGGGAGCTSAAGGACTTCCCTTTCCTACTGGCACAGCCCAGGCTTCCGTGCAGCTGCACMGAGGGCTTTGCTAAGTGCTGTCCCTGCTCAGGTGGCACCTGCAGCCYGGTCACAGCATCATCAGTGACAAAAAGCAGAGACCTTAAGGAACCCCATGCCCCCTGATAACAACCCCGATGCATCTCCTCCTCTCTGCAGCCCAGCCTCATG